GGGGGATGGAGGGGTGTCCGGGCTCAGAGGTCCGGGCTTGGGAGACCATAGGTGATGCCTGGGCCAGCCCTGTGCAAGGCGAGCGTCTTAGCCCTGTATTATCTCTCCCAGCTTGGTTTTTTATGACTTTCTATGGAGATAAGTTTGGCTTAATGACAAGATGGATAGTAGGTAGAGTCAAAGGATGAAATCAAGGCCAAAAAAATTGTTCAATAAACTGGCAATGAAAAACAAGGGGCTGGAGCGATAGCACAGCAGGTAGGGCGTTTGCCTTGCATGAGGCCAACCCGGGTTCGATTCCCAGCATCCCATAGGGTCCCCCGAGCAGCACCAGGAATAATTTCTGAGTGCAGAGCCAGGAGTAACCCCTGACCATTGCCGGGTGTGACCCCCTAAAAATACAAAACAAAACAAAGGGTCCTGAGAGACGGCAGAGATTAAGGAGCATGCTTCGCTCAGTCACCCTAGTTCGATCTCAAGAACCACATATAGTCACATGACCCCGGCTACCAGGAGTGATCCCTGATCCCAGCTGGCTGTGGTGCAACCCTCACATACTCAGCCCCCAAAAGTAGTCATAACCCTAAAATTCCAGTATCATCTATAACAAATGATGAGTAAATAAAAACACAGGAACGATCAGAACTCATTTAATTCTTTCAGGGTTATTTGGGGGGCCTTCTCCGGCACGGCTGGGTGGGGGAGAAGCAATATAGCAAGGTGGCCTGATTCAGTGTTCCTGCCGGGAAACAAGATATGCTGGAGGCCACAAGGGACCACCAGACCTAAACTTCACAGTACTGTGGGGGAGCGTAGCAAGTGGACGCTGAGGATGGGGCATGCAAGGCTTGGAAGGTGTCCTAGGCCCTCTCAGGAGCTGTTTTAACCCTCTCTATTGTCTTTCACTGCAACTTTAATTCAGCGTTGTAGCACCTGCTGATCTTTCCAGATGGGGGTCATTCCTGGGGAGTACCTGCACCGAGCTGGGGAGACAGAACCAGGGTTGGCCTTGGGCAAGGGTAAGCGCTCATTTCTCTTGTTGAACAGATGCGCGTTAGAGTCTTTTTTTATTTTATTTTGCTTTTTGCTTTTTGGGTCATACCCGGCGATGCACAGGGGTCACTCCTGGCTCTGCACTCAGGAGTTACTCCTGGCGGTGCTCAGGGGACCGAAATCGAACCCGGGTCGGCCGCGTGCAAGGCAAACGCCCTCTCCGCTGTGCTATCTCTCCAGCCCCTAGAATCTTATTCTTAACTGGTATGTTCAACGCACACAAAACTCTTTTATGCTCGAATTAGACGCTCGGCCGCAGGCATCCTGGACACTCACGGTCGTGAATGCCAGGTTCATTTCCAATCACACGGCTCCTACAACGGGCAGAAGCACCGAGTCGAACATTCTGTCATCTCTGGCCCACTGACCAATCCCATAAAACGAAGGGGTCCCTATTTTCTCCCCAGGGAGAGAGAGAGAGAGAAAAAAAAACGGGGTTTCCAAGGAACTACCGCCGTCGTTCCGATCTCGGATCACTAGGCGTGCAGCCTAACGCTGAACCCTCAAAAACGCTGAACCTTGGGCTGGAGCGATAGCACAGCGGGGAGGGCGTTTGCCTTGCACGCGGCCGACCCGGGTTCGACTCCCAGCATCCCATGCACCGCCAGGAGTCATTCCTAAGTGCAGAGCCAGGAGTAACCCCTGAGCGTTGCTGGGTGTGACCCAAAAAGCAAAAAAAAAAAAAAAAACCCCAAAAACCGCTGAACCTTGAAAACCGACCGCAGCGGCTGCCAATCGGGCGCGAAGGAAGGGCCCCCCGCAGACCTCGCTGCTGCGAACCTGCAAGCTGACAGCCCCCCCCCCCCCCGCCTTTTTCATGCATTTCATTCGTTTTCCAGGGCGGGGGCGGGAGGAGGCGTCAGCGTCGGGGTTTCATCACCCCCGCACCGTCCCCGCCACGACCCGCAGTCCGACCCGAGACAAAGGCGGCCCCGGCCCGCAGCGCCCGCGGCCCGCAGCCGACCCCAACCTGCGCGTCCAGCCCGGGCGGGGGTCGCGGGGAGCCCCCCGCCGCCCTTCCCCCCCCGCCCCCCCCGCCAGCAGGACCCTCTGCGGGGCGCCCCGACCCGCGTCCGGGGCCCCCGGGGGCGGGGGCCGGAGGGGCCGCCCCCAGCCTCGCGCGCGTTGCCATGGCGACCCCCGCCGCCCCCGCGCCCGGCCGCTCCCCTTACCCATGGCGGCGGCGCGTCCGGCCCGGGCCTCCCTCCCGGGCCCGCCGACTCCCTGGGCGCGCGGCCGCCCCACAGCGCTCCCGGCGGCGGGAGGACGGGACGGGGCGGCGCGGCGGGGCGGGCGGGGCGGGGCGCGGCGCTGGCCCCTTGGCAGGGCCCCCCGGCCGCCCCCGGCCCCCGAGGACGACGCTCGAGACACGCGCGCGGCCGGCCGGGCGCCCCGCACGCCCCCCCGAGCCGCGTGACCGGCGCCGCCCAGGAACCGCGCGGGACTCTTTCCTGAGCCGCGTCGCCCGCTCGGCCGCCGCCGCCGCCGCCGCCGCCTTCCGGTCGCCTCCGCCCGCCCGGGCCCTGCCTGCTCCGGCGCGTCGCGGCGCGACCCCCTCCCGCCCACGCCGGTCATCGCCCGGGGTCGGCCGCGGGCACAGGCGGATCCAACAGTGGAAAGCAACTGGTTCAAGAAAAAAATCATCTTTTGTGTGTGTGTGTCAAGAAAAAAGCCATCGTGTGTGTGTGTGTGTGTGTGTGTGTGTGTGTGTGGTGTTTCGGGGTGTGTGGTGTTTCGGTCATCGCCCAGGGTCGGTCACGGGCACAGGCGGATCCAACAGTGGAAAGCAACCGAGAAGAAAAAAATCATCGTGTGTGTGTCAAGAAAAAAGCCATCGTGTGTGTGTGTGTGTGTGTGTGTGTGTGTGTGTGTGGTGTTTCGGTCATCGCCCAGGGTCAGTCACGGATGTGTGTGTGGTGTTTCGGGGTGTGTGTGTGTGGTGTTTGGGTCCCACCGGGCAATGCTCGGGGGTTCCTCCTGCCTCACGACTGGTTTAAGAAAAAAGCCATCGTGTGTGTGTGTGTGTGTGTGTGTGTGTGTGTGTGTGTGTCACACCCGGGGATGCTCGGGGGTTCCTCCTGCCTCACGTCCTCAGGAATCCCTCCTGGCGGTGCTCCAGGCACCACACGGGATGCCGGGAATCGAACCCGGGTCCGCTCCGCCGCGGGCAAGGCCAGCGCCCTTCCCTGCGATTGCTCCAGCCCCCAGTCGTCATTCCGTAAAAACGCCTGAGGGAGCCGGAAGTGAGGCTGAGTCCTCAGTTTTGGGAGAGGAGAAACATTCCCCGGAAGGAGGTGGCGACGCGGGATCGTTCTTCAGGAAGGGTCTCCAGCACAGACCCGTCGTTTCTCTGAGGTGATTTGTTTGACAGACGTCTTTTCATAGAGAAGAGGAAAAGGGATGACCCGGAGCCAAAGGGCTCGAGAACGGACAGGTGGAAACAAGGATGCGCCTCTTGATTCGTTACATAAGCAAACAAAACCTCACAGGACGACGCGTATTTTATTTGAGACCGAGATCTTCAACATCAGACACCGAACGCTGAGGTCGAAGAATAAGAGGAACCAGAAATGAGGCGGAGAGGGGACTGGCAAGAGCACAGGGGAAGGCGCTTGCCTCTTCTGCAAGCACCACATGCCGTCCCAGAAGGCACTGTCAGGAGTGACCCCAGGGCACTGCCCTTTGAGGCCCCAAACCAACACCACCAAAAGGCAAACAAGAAATTAATATATCAGAACTTGAAAGACCAGACTTCAAGATGGTCAGCAGAAAACAAAAAGAAGGAAAATCAAAAACAGATTTTGGATGAGGAATTCAAAATACATACTTTCTTCTTTTTGTTTTTGTTTTTTCCACCACACCTGGCAATGCTCAGGGGTTACTCCCAGATCTGCACTCAGAAATCACTCCTGGCCGTGCTCAGGGGACCATCTGGGGTGCCTGGGATTGAACCCAGGTCAGCCACATGCAAAGTTAAGCTCCCTACCTGCTATACTATCTCTCGGGCCCCCTTCTTAACATTAAAAAGACTGTGAACAAAAGAAATTTTTTTTTTCTGGTTTCAGGGCCTTACCCAGTAGTGCTAAAGGGAGGAGTGGAAAGGAACAATGCAATGCCAGGATCTGACCCAGAGCCCTTGCATGGGTCCCTGACTGTCTGCTGGGCCCTGAAAAGTGGAATCTATACCCAATTATTTAAATGTACAAAATATGGGGAAAAAAATTAATCTTGGGGGGAAAAAAAGCTTTTTTAAAAGTGCACTGACTCATACCCAGATAGGGCATCACACATGTGAGGCATATACTCTACCACAGACCCACATCCCCAGTCAAAACTTTGTTTTGAAATTTTTATTTCTAAAATGTTAAACTCAGGGCCCAGAGAGAGACAGCAAGTACAACAGACTGAGTGCACATGCTCTGCACTCAGGACCCAGGTTTGGCCCCAGGCACCACATGCTCCTCTGGGCACCAGGACATAACCCCACCCATGGAGTCAAGAATAGACCCTGAAGACTGCTGAGTGTGAACTGAAAAAAGAAAGTTAAGGCTCAGGACTGGGAGCCAGAGTGATAGTACAGTTGGCAGGGGGTTTGCCTTGCACATGGCCAACCCAGGTTAGATCCCCAGCATCCATTAGAGTCCCCAAAGCACCACCAAGAGTCATTCCTAAGCGCAGAGCCAGGAGTATGCCTAAGGAACGCCTAGGCATTGCCTAGGATGACACCCCCCTCCCCCAAAAAAGTTCAGGCCCAAAGTTAAACTGGGTCAAAATTTATCAGGATCTTTTTAGGTTGCACAAAAACACATTTAGAGCACCTAGTCTAGTTCGATGTAGCAGGAAAACTTTTGTAGCACCAAAACACAGTTGGGGAAAAGAAAAGTTCAGTTTAGTTTTGGATACATCTGAACTGAAAAACAAAATTACTAAGTTAAATTTTATTATGGGTAAAGAACTTCAAAAAGAATATACCTTAATTAAATAAAAAATAAATAACCTGAACTCTTAACAGAGTGTGCTTACTTCATATCATGTCCTTTGATTAAAAGTTACTTTCACATTCTAATCAGGCAGAGTTATGGCACATCCAAATTATGAATAGACAATAGAAAAAAGAACCACCACACTAGTAGAGAAACTCAAGGATGACACGGTATTAACTTCTTTGAGAATCACTCAATATGTGACAAAGACTATCTTGTTCTCCTGGTGGCAGATCAATGATGTAAAATAAGTTAAGGAAGATATATTTTAATACAATATGGAATTTCACAAAAATACTTATAGCTCCAATTTTTTTTTTGGGGGGGGTCACACCTGGTGATACTCAGGGCTTACTCCTGGCTCTGTGCTCAGGGATTACTCCTGGCAGTGCCGGGGGACCAGATGAGATACCGGGGATCGAACCCGGTCGGCCGCGTGCAAGGCAAACGCCCTCCCCACTATGCCATTGCTCCAGCCCCATGACTCCAATTCTAAAAATATAGTTATGCAGGGGCAGGAGAGATAGTACAGAGAGTAAGGCACTTGTCTTGAACACAGTTGGCCCGGGTTCAATGCCAGGTACCCCATATGGTGCTCCAAGCACCACCATGAGTTATTCCTGAGTGCAGAGTCAGAAATAAGCCCTAAGTACTGCTTGGTGGGGCCCTAAAAACAAGAAAAGGTTTAACTAAAGAATGCAACCCAGGGGCCAGAGCGATGGTACAGCAGGTGCAAAGCCTAGGACGTGGTAAACCTGGGCTCAATTCCTGACACCCCACCTGGTCCTCCGAACCCGCCAGAAGTGACTCCTTAATGCAAAACCAGCAGTGACCCCTGAGCATCACCAGGTGTGGCTGAAAAACAACAAAAGAAAGAACAGAGAAAGTATAAAATCCAATAGTGTTTTTCATTCTTCTTGATGTCAAAACTTCAAAAATAAAACACATTTTATTTATTTGTGCTCAGAGGTGCTCAGATGTGCTCAGGGATCCATGCAGTGCCAGTGAGTAGGGTGCCTGCCTTGCATGCAGCTGACCCAGATTTAATCATCAGTACTCCTTATGACCCCCACCAGGAGCGATCCCTGAGTCCAAAGCCAGGAGTAGCCCTAAGCACTGCTGGGTGTGGCCCAAATAAACAAATAAGTAGGTTTTAAAATTTGGATTTTTTTAAAAAGAATCTCGTTTATGTTTTGTCTGTCAAAAGGAATGTCATGTAATTTAGGTGATGATAAATGGTTTTCAAAACATAAAAATCCTTCACAAAGCCTAAGTCCTTCATGAATTAAAAGAGTAAAAAGTACAAGTCATTCTAATATACAACATTGTAGCACTGCATAGTAGCACTGTCCACCCGTTGCTCATCGATTTGCTCCAGCAGGCCCAGTAACGTCTCCATTGTGAGACTTGTTACTGTGTTTGGCATATCGAATATGTCACGGGGAGCTTGCCAGGCTCTGCCGTGTGGGCGAGATACTCTCGGTAGCTTGCTGGGCTCTCCGAGAGGGGCGAGGAATCAAACCCGGGTCAGCCAGGTGAGTTGCATGCAAGGCAAATGCCCTACCACTGTGCTATTGCTCCAATCCAAAATAAATGTAATTTAAGAGATATCCAAAATTATATTATCTGACATTTGTGACTTTTTATTTATTGTTTTGCTTTAGCTGCGGCTCTTGATTTTTAATCACGGGAGCAGTCTACTGACTCAGGGATGAGCCAGTACAGGTGACACATTCCACATGCGTTTTTCTGACATGTTGGCAGCTAAGTTTACACTGCATTTACCAGTAAGACGGACTTCACTTGTTCCTAGGCATCTGTCACTTTAAAAATGTAATTTCTCATCCTGAATTTTAAAAGGATCATAAATTTGGAATAACCAACTTTCCTGTATGTATTTTAAGAAAAATTTGCCTTGTTCCTAAGTCCCTTTTTGGCCCTTTCTCACTCATGAATTATTCCTCTGTAATGACCTTCATTACTTTATTTTTGCTTAAAGGTACTTCCTGGGGCTGGAGCGATAGCACAGTGGGTAGGGCGTTTGCCTTGCACGCACCCAACATGACGGACACAGGTTCGATTCCCAGCACCCCATATGGTCCCCTGAGCACCATCAGGAGCAATTCCTGAGTGCATGAGCCAGGAGTAACCCCCGAGCATCACCGGGTGTGACCCAAAAAGAAAAAAAAAAATCCTAAAAAAAAAAAAAAAAGTACTTCCTGTCAATTGTTTTCTCTCTTGCCTTAGAGACACAGATTTCTGAATTTAGTCTATGGAAAACACAAGACACTGAGTTGTTTTTGGTTTGTTCCCCACCCCCCGCCGCTCCCCTGCTTTTTGGGTCACACCCAGCCGATGCTCAGGGGTTACTCCTGGCTCAGCACTCAGGAATCACTCCTGGCGGTACTTGGGGGACCATATGGGATGCTGGGAATTGAACCCGGGTCGGCCGTGTGAAAAGCAAACGCCCTACCCGCTGTGCTATTGCTCCAGCCCCAAGACACTGAGTTTTAATGTATGCATTATTCTCAACAGTGCAATCAAGGGGTTGGAGTGATAGCACAATGGGAAGGGCATTTGCTTGCCTGCAGCTGAGCAGGGTTCGGTTCCCAGCATCCTATATGGTCCCCTGAGCACCGCCAAGGAGTAATTCCGGAGTGCATGAGCCAGGAGTAACCCCTGTGCATCGCTGGGTGTGACCCAAAAAGAAAAAAAATGCAATCAAGGGGTTGGAGAGACAATGGATAAGGCAAGTCGTGCAATAATAAAAATAAGAACCATGTTCACCCACTGTAACACTGTCTCTTGCTTTGCAAGTAGCTGACCTGGGTTCAATCCAGCATCCCAAATGATCTCGGCAGCACTGCCAACACTGATTCCTATCAAAGAGCCAGAAGTAAGCTCAGAAGATTACCAGGTGTGGCCCACAAAGCTAACTAACACCAACAACAGAGGTGTAATCAAATGTGACCCCATATAAGATAAAAAGGATATGAGTTTTTCTGAGTTCAGATGATGAAGAAGCTTCTCCAAAGGGGGATAGCGGGTGAGCGAAGACACAGATCCCAGGAGGATCAGTTTATGTTTGGCTCTGGTAATAGCAACATTAAGACGTCGCCAATCTTTCAAGAGTTCACCAATCTGTAAAGAAATGCAATTTTCAATTATTTCAGTTTTCCTATGTATTTGAGATTGTTCTGATGAACCATGACGTTCTATTTGAACCATTTTCCTTCTTTTGAAAACAGATTGTGAGTTGGTTGGGGGAATAGCTCAGATTTCCTATATAGAAGGTCTTGAGTTTGAACTCTAGAACCAAAAGAAAACGAAACAACAACAAAAGCCCACAGACTGCAAAAATGAGTTGTCAACATAGTTAAAGCTCCAGACAACTGGAAAAACTTGTTCTTAGTGTCAACTCCAATACTTTATCTTGGGTGTGAAATCAGTCATAATTTCAAATAATAAGTAGTGCAATAATAAAAAGAAGAACCATGTTCACCCACTGTAACACTGTTTCTAACAGTAATTAAATCTTATAATAGGAGCTAGAGAGTCAATGGGAAGGGCGTTTGCCTTGCACGTGACCAACTTCAGTTTAATCCCCAGAACCCCAAGCCCCCTATTGGGCCCCTGAGCCTTGCCAAGAGTGACCCTTGGGCATGGAGTCAAGAAAGCCCCAAGCACAGCTGGGTGTAGCCAAAACAAAACAACAACAACAAAAAAGTCAGACTCAGGAGAAAGATGATTATACCATGACATGTATGTATAACAGATAAACTATGCAACAGTAAGAAAAAAAAACTCTCTGTATTCACATGGAAAGATTTCTAAGCTATTAAGATGAAAAAGGAAAGTCTAGCATTGAGTTATAAATACATAATTAACTTTTGGAAAAAAAAATGAAAATATAAATGCTGATTCATATCTATTAGCATATGCAAATACGAAAACTAAAAAAATTGTCAGAGAGGTTCAAAACTGAGTACAAGAGGGTGTATGCAACCCTTGGTCACTGCAACAACAGTATCAACAACAATAAAGGGAAGGGGATGAAAAAATAAGCCAGTAACAAAAGGAAAATTATTATTTGACTCCGCTAACAGGATGCACATAGAAGTATCATATTAATGGAAATAGAAAATAAAACAGTGAGTGCCAAATGCTGGGAAGTGGGGGGAATGGAAACTATTCCTGAAACTATTCAGTTTTGCAAAGTGAAAGTGTTTTGGAGACTGTTATATATATACCACGTTAATAGATTTAATACTACTGAACTCTAAACTTTAAACCAATTAAGACAATACATTTTATGCTTTAATAATTAAAGCGAGAAGACTCCGAACAAACAGGAAGTACAATTCACTTACAGTTCCATCTTTATTACTTCTAACAAAAGAGACCAGAATAATACTTTTGTCTCTTCCTTGGTATCTGTCTACTGTATTAACTTCAACCATCCCAAGAGACAAGTGTGCCAATAAGTCATTGATGATCTTCAGTTGCTTCCTGTATGGTGCAATGATGCCAATATCACAGGGATTACATCCAGCCTACAGACAATAAAAACATTAAAAGACACAATTTAAAAATAAAAAATTCCTGATTTTCATTGTTTTTTACTAAATCTACCATACTAAATGTCTATGTACCGTGCCCGAGTGAAAGTTACAATAGGTCTTTTTAAGAACTAGTATTACTACTACTAGTTACTGAATCTGCTATAAATCTATACCCGTACTTCTGAGATGAAATCATCTATCCCATGATCTTTAGAGGTTCAGGGTGGCATAAAGGTTGGTGCATCACTAAAACAGGGCCATTATAAAGAACAGTAACAACACACTTCACTTCCGGCTCGTCCTCACAGGGAGGTTTTCACATCCCAATTATACTGACTACAATTCTGCCTTAACAATAAGAATTTTGCTTGCAAAAAAGTTTCCTAAGTGAAGACCCAAAAATGTCACTATGAAAAATTGCATCTTAGATAAACTTTCTCAAAATAAAACAGGCTGTAGGCTTTATGTCTCTCACCTTAGTAAGGATTAAGGCCAGATGTTTTTGTTTTGGCTTTTGTTGTCTTGTGGCAGTGCTCAGGGACCATGTGGAGTGCTGGGGCTCAAACCAGCGTCAGATTTACGCAAGGCAAGTGCCCTACCCACTGTACTCTGTCTGGCCCCAAGGTCAAATCTTAAGTTTCTTGTACTCTGACTTTTCTTTGAGAGATGGGAATTTGGGGACCACACCTGGCAATGCCCAGGAAGTGCCTGAGTTCTCTTCCCCGCCAGCACTTTAATATCCTATTACTCTACAACTAAATATGAATTCGTTATCAAAATTCATGATATTCTCAATTACCTTGATAAAAATTGAAGTCAGGAAAACTACAAGTTTGGCTTCTGTTATGTTGCTCACACCTCCCTTTTCAATTTGTTCTGGTGCTGGAACCTAAATAAATAAAATAAGCAGCCAGTTTATAAGCCAGTCTCTGGAGTGAGAGTCAGCACACAGGCATAGAGGCGAGCGCATCAGCAGCCTGAGGGCGCCTTCAGACTTCCAGATACCCCAAAATTGCTGCTGTGCCTTTGGCCAGACCCCAAAAACTTGGGGCAAAATTTACCAAGAAAGTCAAGGGCCAAAAGTTAGGTACGTGACAGAGAAACAAACCACCACAAACCACCTCCGGCTCAGCTATATAATTGGAGGCAAGGCCTCTTTGGTTCCTGATTGAACTGCTTAATGGCCATGAACCCAGAGACTCAGAAACAAATCTCGAAACCCAGCGGCTTTTGGCAGAAATGCGTCCAGTCCCTGCAGTAGGTTACCGGTGCTGGGCCAACCCAGGTGGGAATAGGTTTCCTGCCTTGGCCTGTTCCCCCCAGCGGCCCAGTGGCTGCCATCCTTCAGAGGTCACTGGACAGTCACGTTTGGGCCCCCAGTGATGAGACTCGCAGGGCCTCACGGGATGGGGGTGGAGCCGGTCCAGTCCTCCCCACCCCAATGAGACCCCAAGTCATCGCCCAGGAACGGCCTCTCTGGCTCCTGATCAAGCTGCTTAACGGCCATGATCCCAGAAACTCAGAAACAAATCTCGAAACCCAGCGGCTTTTGGCAGAAATGCGTCCGGACCACGCAGTAGATTACTGTCGCCGGGCCACTCCAGGGGGGAAAGGGCGTTGTCCCTCCGCCTGCTCCCCCTTGGTGGCTCGGTGGCCGTCATCCTCCAAAGGCCATTGGACAGTCAGGCTTGGGCCCCAAGTGACGAAACTTGTTGGGCCTCACAGGATGGGGGTGGAGCCGGGCCTGTCCTCCCCACCCCAACGAGACCCCAAGTCATCGCCCACGAATGGCCTCTCTGGTTCCTGATCAAGCTGCTCAATAGCCATGATCCCAGAGACTCTGGAGCAAATCTTGAAACTCAGTGGCTTTTGGCAGAAAGCCCTCCAGGTTTAAGTGTTAAAATTTCAGATTTTCAAAATCACATGGCCCTACTGCAGCCACGCGACATCATATATTATTCATAACCAGCAATAGAACACCAATTGTCTACTGTTGCCTTTTCAGCAGAGTTGAGTGTTGGGGTAAAATCTCAAATAATAATGGTGGGTCTGGTGTCGAAATATTGAATGTGATCAAAGTAGAGAGAGAGTAATGTGAGAATCATCTGCCCCATAGGTAGGGGCAGGGTGTGGAATGGGGTTATACTGGGGTTTTTGGTGGTGGAGAATGGGCACTGGTGAAGGTACAGGTGTTTCATTGTATGACTGACACTTAGACCCAAAAGCTTTGTAACTGCTCTCACGGTGATTCAATAAATAAAATTATAAAAAATGGGGAAAAAAAAGCAAGGTGGAGTTCATGCCCAATTCAATCAGCCTAAACAATGGCTGAATAATTAGCAATACTCCTGCATTAAAAAATAAATAAATAAATAAAATGGAGAAAATCAATATGAATAAATGGTATTAAGTCACCTTTTAGAAAGCCACTCAGATAAAGCTCACCTTAAACTACTACAGTTGAGACCAAAATCTATCAGCACACGTGGAGTTTCACATACCATATTTTGTTACCTCCAATTTTGTTTGTCAGAGACCAGGAGAGATAAGAAATTTTCCCCAAACCTAGTAATAATAGCTCTAGGGGTCAATCAATCTGGCACTAAGATCTGTGCTTTTCCTATTCTCTTGCATCTTTTATACAAAAACTGCACTGCATTGTCACACTGTCATTCCACTGTTCATCGATTTTGCTCGGGCAGGCACCAGTAACGGCTCCATTCCCGTGGACCATTCCCTCTCCTGTGCTAATGCAGCCCAATGCCGTCTGCTCGCTCCAGGAACATGAAGTGAGACCTGTTGTTACTGTTTTTGGCATATCGAATACGCCACAGGTAGCTTGCCTGGCTCTGCCGTGCAGGCGGGATAATCTCGGGAGCTTCCCGGCTCTCTGAGAGGGACGAGGAATCGAACCCGGGTTGGCCATGCGCAAGGCAAATGCCCTACTCATTGTGCTATCGCTCCAGCCCTATACAAAAACTTAAGCAGATAAAACTGTCCAGGTTCTGCTAAACTTGATAAAACTCTCCAAAGGCTATTCGGCTCTTCTATCAACCTTAAGTAACCTTATTACTATTATTTTTATTGTTATTATTATTATTTTTATTTTCAATGTCTGTTTTCATTTTTGCTTGTTTGGGAGCCACAACTGGCTGTGATCATGGGCTCTATGCTCAAGGGACCATGCAATAGTGGGGACCAAACCCAGGCTTCCCTTATGCAAATCATGAGCCGAGCCCTTTGAGCTACCTCTCCGGCTGCTTAAGTATTCAAAATCCTAGTATTAAAAGGATGGGATTGGAGCAATAGCACAGCAGGTAGGGCGTTTGCCTTGCACGCGGCTGACCCGGGTTCGATTCCCAGACATCCCATATGGTCCCCTGAGCACTGCCAGGGACGATTCCTGGGTGCAAAGCCAGGAAGAACCCCTCTGCATTGCCTGGTGTGATCAAAAGGCAAAAAAAAGAGGAATGTGAGGGGCTGGGGTACAGTACAGTAGTACAATACAGTACAGTAGTACAGCGGGCAGGGCGTTTGCCTTGCACGCGGCCGACTTGGGTTCAATCCCCGGCATCCCATATGGTCCCCCAAGCACCGCCAGGAGTGATTCCTGAGTGCAAAACCAGGAGTAACCCCTGAGCATCACTGGGTGTGAACCCAAAAACACAAAATGTGAGTTGCAAAAACTGTCTGAGCAATCATTGGGAAGGTCAACAATAAATTGTAGCCAATAAACAGGAGTGACGGTTTATAAAAGCAGTCACCCAGGGACATGCAGTGGACAACCTGGCAGGCTACCGACTGTAACCTGCCCACACGGCAGAGTCTGGCAAACTCCCCGTGGCGTACCCAATATGCCAAATACCAGAAACAATGATGGGTCTCATTCTCCTAACCCTGAAAGAGCCTTGAATGTGGCACTTTTTAGAATCTCAGGGCTAGGACGAAGGAGACGTTACTGGGGCCTGATCGAGGCAATTGATGGATAACAGGATGATCGTGATCGTGATCATGATCACCCAAGGACTGACTGGTAGCTCAACAGCTGAGGGCATGCTGTGATGTGACTGGGTTCAATCCTTGGCACTACACGCTATCACTGCCAATTTCTAGGAAGTATAATTAGACTTAAAACTTAGTTTTCAAGCTTTACTTTTTTCAAAGTCCATTTTGACACATTATTCATCAGAATAAACTTTCTCCCAAAGAGAATAAATATATACAGGGAGAAGTAAGATTATCCTGTGTTGAAGCACCATGGTTTTCAAGCTCTCCAGAAGCATTCACTACTGGAAACTGTGGAATTTCAATAATAGGACGAATACAGAAAAATAGAAAGTGTCTTACCTTATCTGTATTAAGAAAACAAACAGGATTGTTTGGCTCAAATGCTCCAGCCAGCCAAGGGTTTTCAGAATAATCAGCATAAAATTCCAGTTCCAGTTTCACATCCTTCAAGTTAGGAAGGTTTGTCACTGCATTAGCTACTTTGTCTGATCCACACTCCAGCTTCCCCTCATATGTCAATTTATTACTTAAGGACATGATCTTACTACAAAGATGACAAAAAAAATAATTTAGGCAGATGAAAAGAAACTTGAAAATCTTCCACAGCTGACCAGTTACAAATTACCAGTTACCTGTTCATTCTGTACTGCACAGTTAACTGTACAACAGCGTCTTTATTCTTCTCCAGCCTTTTGAATAAGCTTTCACTCATGCCGAGATCTCTGTCAACAAATCGAATTCAGGTCTGTCAGTGTACTGACACTGTCCCTTAAAAGCCCTGCCAGGGGAGCTGGAGCAATAGCACAGTGGGGAGGGCGTTTGCCTTGCACGCGGCAGACCAGGGTTCGATTCCCAGCATCCCGTATGGTCCCCTGAGCACCACCAGGAGGAATTCCTGAGCGCAGAGCCAGGAGGAACCCCTGTGCATCGCCGGGTGTGACCCAAAAAGCAAAAAAAAAGCCCTGCAAGGGACAGCGGGAGTGACAGTAGAGCAAGTACTTTGTCTCGCCCACAGCTGACTGGGGTTTGATGCCCAGCATCCTAAACAGTCCCTGAACCCCAGCAGGGACCACGTCCCTGGGCAGAGAGCCAGGAGTCAGCCCTGAACACCGCCGGGTGTGGTCCCCAGAACAAAACAAACAAGAATCCTAGAAACGGAAACCGCAGCGTCCGCCTACCTTGCCTCCCGGTTCAGCACAAGGGGAGGGAGCTGCTGATGATCCCCCACCAGCACGAATCTCCGGGCAAAGAAGAGGGGCCCCAAGCAAATGGGCTGGCTAATCTGAGACGCTTCATCCACAATACAAAAATCGAAAGTTTTACGAGAAAATATTGGGTGGTTTATTCCCATACATGTCGTTGCGACTATAAGCTGAAAGGAAAGAAAACAGGAAAGTATGGCATCATTGTACAAGTCAAAGAAATATACTTCTGGAGCATGCGCTTTGCATTTGAGAGCCTGACACTGCCTGGTCCCCTGAGCACTGCCCCAGGAGTAGTTCCTAAACTCTGTAAGATGTGACCCCTCCAAACCAACAAAATACTTCTTCCATTTTTAAGTCAAGAGATAAAAAAAAATAATTCTCTGTTCCCATAGCAAAAATCCTCATGATATTTAATTCTAAAACACTGATTACAGGATACAAATAAAAAAACTTTTTCAACTGTGAAACTGATTTTTAGGGGAAGGAGGGTGGTGTGATGCCAGGGCGAACCCAGGACTTCACACACACAAGGCAAATGCCCTACTGCTGAGTTACATTCCCAGCCCCTTTACTATAAAGTAAAAAAAAAAAAACTCAAACACATTTTCTAGTTCTTACAAACAATGCTCAAATTTGGATATTTCCAGATGGAAATCGAAGACATTTAAGAGGCAATAAATGAACACTTTTTTTTCAGAAGCTGACTGACTTAACTTTCGAGATCCTGTAATACTTCCTTTTACTCATCCCACCAAGTACAACCCAAAATACATGAGCGTTATATACAGAACTAGAAGGACTTTAAAGATGAAGACAGTCAGATCAACTAGGAACCCTGGGACCCGAGCAACAGGACGTAGGTCCCCCAGCTCTGCTCCTGTGCGCATATCCCAGGGTAAGAGCTGAAGAAGCCTGATTAGTGCCTACAGACGAACAAAAGGATCTAACAAAAGCCTACTGCTCCAGCCCAAAGGGAACAGGAAGGGAAAGGCGTAGTGGAACCCCTTCCCATGCGCCCCTCACCACCAAAAATAAGCTGTTCTATAATACTCTCGGAGAGCCCGGCAAGCTACCGAGAGTATTCGATACGCCAGACACAGTAACAACAAAGTCTCCAATGGAGACGTTACTGGGCCCGCTCGAGCAAATCGATGATCAACGGGAGGGCCTTTACTTAAGGGCTGGAGTGATAGCACGGCGGTAGGGCGTCTGCCTTGCACGGGGCCAACATGGCCGACCCGAGTTCGAGTCCTCTGCCCCTCTCGGAGAGCCCGGCAAGCTACTGAGAGTATTCGATATGCCAGACACAGTAACAACAAAGTCTCCAATGGAGACGTTACTGGGCCCGCTCGAGCAAACCGACGATCAACGGGAGGGCCTTTACCTTTACCTTTTATAATAAATACTCTACTGTCGTCAAAACTCAGAGGGAAAAAATGCAACCCCACCCCACTGAAGCTGCAAAGGCTGAGTGGGCACCTGCACTCCCATTTCATAAGACCAAGTAGGGAACTGGGAATATGCGACTGTTCAAACATTGCTGGGGGCAAATGAAAGATAGCACAATGGGTAAAGTAGATAAAGGGCCAAACATGACAACCTCTCAGGGTCTGTACCGCAACCCATAATGCCCCAAAGTAGAGAGAGATTTTGGGGAATCATGTCTGCCATCTCGGAGAGCCCGGCAAGCTACCGAGAGTATTTGATATGCCAGACACAGTAACAATAGTCTCCAATGGAGACGTTACTGGGCCCGCTCGAGCAAATCGACGATCAACGGGAGGGCCTTTACCTTTACCTTTATGTCTGCCATGGAGGCAGAGGGAGGGTGGGAAAAGGGGGGGTTATACCAGGGATATTGGTGGTGGGGAGTGTGCACTGGGGGAGGGATGGGTGTTTGATCATTCTGTGATTGTAACCCAAACATGAACGCTTAGAACTCTCTCACGGTGATTCAATAAAATTTAAAAAAAAAAATGAGTAAGGCCTCGAGGCAGTCTGTGAGGTTGAACCCTGGTTCAATCCCCAGCACCAGAGATGGTCTCTGCAGACCCACCAGGAGTGATTCCCAAGCACAGAGCCAGGAGTAAGCTAAGCTGTGTGCGGTGCAGACCAAAACACACAATTAAATGCATCATTTTCCTCGTGCTGTTTTCCTCCCCTCTCTCAGGCTGCAGAGCGTGTTTCTTCTCCCAGCCTGCAGCCATGGTCTGGACTGGAGATTGCACACTTGCCCGGCAGTGGTGTCTGGGCTCCCAGTGGTGGGGTGCCCCACTGTCTGCTTGTGGGACTTGCTCCCGCGCTCTTTGGGTTCACTCATAGCTGAGGCACAAGTGATGGCTGTCACACATAAATGTGTGTGTGAGTGTGACTGTTCAAGGGGCCCAGGGGAGTCCCACCAAGAGTCACCTCTGAGCACAAAGCCAGGAGTAAGTCCTGAACAACGCTGGGTCTGGCCCCCAAATCAAACAATCCGCAAGTGTGTGCTTGCATGACTTGGCTGCTCACAAATGTTCTCACTGGTCACAGTCCCCTGGCTGTGACCACTACGTCAGGTGCAGCACTCACCAGGGTGACGCTGCTTTTCTGGGCCAACACGAGTCTCAATGCCATGTGGCTGGAAACGGCCTGTGATGCCGGAGACCACACAGGTTGCAGATCTGTCAGGATCAAGCTAGACACATGCGGAACACCAGGAATCTGAACTCGAGACCTTACATTTGCAAGGTGGCAAGGGCGGTGCTCTTCCTGGGCTAATCCGCCAGGCCCTGAAAGAGTCATTATACAACCGCAGTACTTACTTGACTGTTGTAGAGCTCTTCCAGGTGAGCTAAGGACTTAATGGACTTGGTTCTGTAAATTTCCTCCTCTGTAAACTTCTGGATATCTGGGTGAACTTTCTGCGTCTGGCCCAAGCGCAAAAATCCGATTTTAAACTTGGCTAACTTCAAGAGAATATTGTCAACAGCTGAGTGTGTATAGCTGGTCAGCAAGACACTAAAACCACAGGCATAGAGAATTCTTACCTAAATAATAAATAAGAGAAAAGAAATTACGGCTCATTTTGAACATGTTTCTATTTTCCACTAAGAACGAAAACACTAAAAAGGAAGCTTATTTAAAAGCTAAGGCATGGGACATGTTTTTAAATCATAAAGTAAAAATGCTTTATAAAAATTTAAATGGCAATAGCACTTTATTAATATATTAATATTCCATAAAAAGAACCATATATTCATATAATAAGTATATATCAGCTTTTAACAGTGTGAATCAACTACTTGAAACTTTACTGAAGTAAAAAAAAACCCTACTAAATCATCATTATACACTTTTTCTTTGGTTTTGGGGTCACATCCAGCAGTGCTCAGGGCTACTCCTGTTTTGGTTGTTCCTATCTGGGCTGTTGCTGTCAGTGCTCAGGGGACCGTGAAGAAGAGCCAGGAATCCGCAGCCTCCAATACGCAAAGCAAGTGCAATACCACTGAGTCACATCCCCAGTCGCTACAGAATTTTCTTTTTCATTTAGGGTGAGGCTAAACCTGGGAGTATTGTTCAGGTTTATTTTGGGGGGAGGGGGGCAACACGGCAGTGCTCAGAGTACCACATGGGATGCCAGGGCTTGAACTCAGACCTCCTACATTCAAAGCATTTACTCGAGTCAACTGAGCTCTCTTTGATCCCCAAAGTAGCTAGTGTTCAGGGACTATTCCAGGCTTGCTACTTAGGGATCATTCCAGGAGTACTCAGGGAACCCTGTGGCACCAGAGATCAAACCTAGAACTCTGGCATGTAGAGTATGCTCTTCCGCCCTTTGAATCATCTCCCTGACCCATAATTTATTCAATCTCTTTGGTGGAGAGGGGAATTGGGGCCCCTATCAGCAATGCTTAGTTTACTCCCGGCTCTGTGCTAAGGGGTGACCCTGGTAGTATTCAGAGGACCAGATGTGCTGTTGGAGATCAGAGTCATGGACATGCAAGGAAAGCACTTCACTTCCTGTGCTATGTTTTTGGTCCTATTATTTTTTTTTCTTTTTGAGTCACACCCGGAGATGCACAGGGGTTACTCCTGGCTCATGCATTCAGGAATTACCCCTGGCGGTGCTCAGGGGACCATATGGGATGCTGGGACTCGAACTCGGGTCAGCCACGTGCAAGGCAAACACCCTACCTGCTGTGCTCTTGCTCCAGCCCTGGTCCTATGAATTTTTTAAAGGACAAGAATTTACAATACTAGCAAGAGTGATCTAAGACATTTCACATCTAAAAACTCCAGCGTCATACACCCCCACCCCCACCCCAAGAAATCAATAAATCAATCCATAAAAAAAAAAACCTCCATCGTCCCAGGGTGTATCAGAGACTGTGAGGCCCCTGGTTCAATCCCTGGCAGCAAAACAAAGTATGTGGCTCTAACATAATTGTGTGACTGCCTCCCCACCCCCAACCTTTAATGATCTCCTACCAATAACTAAGAAATCAAGACTTCAGGGTCAGTGAGATAATACAACGGGCAGGGTGACTGCCTTGCATGCGGCTAACCTGGGTTTCATCCTCGGCATCCCACATGATTCCCTGAGCTCTGCCAGGAGTGACCCCTGGGCATTCAAAGTGGAGCCTGAGGTTATCGTGCCACTCAGGCCCTGCAGTGCTGGGGACATCTGTATCCTACCTCTGCCTAAAAAAATGATGTTCTGGGGCTGGAGCAATAGCACGGCGGGTAGGGAGTTTGCCTTGCACACGGCCAACCCGGGTTCGATTCCCAGCATCCCATATGGTCCCCCGAGTACCGCCAGGAGTAATTCCTGAGTGCAGAGCCAGGAGTAACCCCTGTGCATCGCTGGGTGTGACCCCCCCAAAAAAATGATGTTCTGCCTAAAAAGTTCAGCCCTTTGAAATAAAAATCCTGAGCTGAGCACTCTAACGTCAGTATTTACTTGGAGCAAAAGAATAATAACCTTACAAGAGTACATATTGTCGTCGTTTTTCCCGTGCCAGGCATGCCCACGATGAGTGTGTAATCTTTTGAAAGAAGGACCTTTTTCATGGCTTGCCTCTGAGGTTTATTCAAACCTACATTTAAATTTTAAAATAACAAACAAAAAGGTATTAACATCAGTGAGCAAATAAACCATTTTCCAAGGAAAGCAGCCTTGTTTTCAATACACCCTTCTCACAGTAATAAAATATTATTGACTTTCTTTTAATAATAGTAAAATATTATTGACTAAGGATATAAATAAACAATGTGGAAAGGAATGAAACTCGTGAGAGCAGGCTTAGAACGCGTGATGGAGCTTCGATGATAAACAGAACCAAGACAGAGGAATGGGCTCAGCCACACTGACCACGGCCTACCCCTGAGAATGCAGGCAACAGTGTCCTTTGCGTCATGTGGAAGAACAGAACTGAGGTAGCATATAAACTGGGGTTCGTGAAAGTCAATGATTAACTCTCGAAGCTTTTGGCTGAAACACAGAACACATGTTTTTAAGCAATAAAATGCCTTGAGAGAAGTAAGGTCAACTGCAGATCTGTTCACTGCTACAAACCTCACAGCAGTATTTTCCATCAGTTTAGAAAGATTTCCTAATGGCGTATTTATATCACAATTCTTTTCTTCTTGGTCCATTCTGAACAAAGTTGATTCTGGAAATACTGACAAGTTCCTAAAACAGCAAAATACGAATGTTACTCAGTTAACATAGTGATCTGTAAGAGAAATAATTGCTGTCATCTGAAATAGTAAATGGATGGGGAGATGGGAAGTTATTTGCCTTGCAAGTGGCTGACCCAGGTTTGATTCCAGCCAGCACCCCATACAACCTCCTGAAGCACGCCAGGAGTGACCCCCTGGAACTGAGTCAGGAGCACTGCCAGATGTGGCCCCAGACTAAAAGGTAAAAGGTAAAGGCCCTCCCGTTGATCGTCGATTTGCTCGAGCGGGCCCAGTAACGTCTCCATTGGAGACTTTGTTGTTACTGTGTCTGGCATATCGAATACTCTCAGTAGCTTGCCGGGCTCTCCGAGAGGGGCGGAGGAATCGAACTCGGGTCGGCCATGTTGGCCGCTTGTAAGGCGAACACCCTACCGCTGTGCTAACAACAAAAAAAGCGTAAGAGGCTGGAGAGGTAGTACAGTACGGTAGGACGTTTGCATGGTACGTGGCCAACCTGGGTATGATCCCTGCATCCCAGGTAGTCCCCCAAGCAGTGTCAGGAGTAATTCTTGAACACAGAGCCAGGAGTAACCCCTGCACACTGCCAGGTGTTGCCCAAAAACGAAACAAAACAAACAAAAAGAGAGAATACTTTATCCTGTTCGATTCCTCCACCCCTCTCGGAGAGCCCGGCAAGCTACCGAGAGTACCTCGTCCGCACGGCAAAGTCTGGCAAGCTACCCGTGATGTATTCGATATGCCAAACACAGTAACAACACAATGGACACATTACTGATGCCCGCTCGAGCAAATCGATGAATAACGGGAGGACAGTGCTACAATGCTACCCTATTTTGCTAGGTTACCATTCAAAGCCAAGGAATGACACATGCTTTACCAACGAACTACAGTGAAAAAAAGCTCAAGGTCATTAAACTAGCTTTGCAAGACATGGTTTCCTGAAAAAGGCAGAGACTCTACAGGGGCAGAGATAGCCCATCAGGCTGTGTGCATGTCCGGGTTCGATCGCAAGCACGGCATATGGTTCCCAGGGCCCTGTCAGGAGCAACCCTTCATGCAGTGCCCAAAGTAAGCCCTGAGCACTGCCATGCCATTAGTACATGAAGTACTAATACACGCTAATAAATAAAGATGAACCTCAGAAAGTGATGCTGGGTTGAAGAGACGGCTCACAGAGCTGAGTAAGCACCCTGCATGCAGGAGGCCCAGTTCCACGTTAGGGATTGCATGGTATGACCCACCGAAATCTCACCACTCCCCAGCCCAATCAGGGGGACTGCAAGAAGCCAGTGATCCACCAATCACATAAGAATGATCACTTCTACACAGAATGTTCAGAACAGGCAAATCGAGAAAGTCAGAAAATAAAGGGGTGTTTGTAGAGGGCCTCGACTTATAAGGCAATAAAAGCATGCCAAAACTGACTGTGGTGGTGGCTGAAAAATTCTAGAATATAACAACAAATATACCCAACAGAAATGCCTGATGCTATAAAAAGGCTAGAATAGAAACCTACTAGAATGTTCCAAATACCCTAAAAAACACTTGTTTTTGAATTCTACTTTTTTTTTTTGGCGTCACACCTGGCAATGCACAGGGGTTACTCTGGCTCTGCACTCAGGAATTACTCCTGGCAGTGCTCAGGGGACCATAAGGGATGCTGAGATTCGAACCCGGGTTGGCCGCATGCAAGGAGGCAAAAGCCCTACTTCTCTCCAGCCCCAGAATTGCACATTTCAAATAGATGAGTGGTATGTGGAAATTATCCTCAAAAGCCGTGACTCCCTCTTCCCTGAGCATCCCACCCTCCCACCCCAGTTAACATTTGAGTACCTGTCTAACAAGCAGGTTACTCCTGTGGCATTAATCTCCTTCACATATCCCCGTGACAAAGCAAACAGCGTCCTTGCTTCTCCACTTAAAATAACTCTGTCACCGGCCATCAGGTTTGTGGCAGGCATGGCACCATTTTCACGGCGAAACGTATGTAAATACTGTCCATCACAAACCGCTTTGACGTGTTCTGTTCTTAGCAGGTTTCCAACGCAGCTGCCACTCTCCTCCCTGAGAAAGAGAGACAGCAGCCACGGATATCGCAGGTGGAAACATTCAGTCAGCATCTTCCCCAAAAACCACTTTTTCTATTGATGCTTCAGTGTGTGAATGCTAGTACGGAGTCCACCATTTTCACATTTTCCACAATCCATATGGGAGCGCTAGAAAGGCTGAGGAATATCACTTATTCTGGTTTTTAAATAGTCTCTCACCAAAAGGAAGTGCTAAGGACCAATCCGCTTGTTGCACCAACAGACTGTGAGCTTTGACCAAGGTCGGTACTGGTGCGTTCGGCCTTGAAAGAGCCCCATCTCCTGCACTAAATACACATAACATTCAGAAGACAAACTAATAACCAGTTTCTGGAACCTGGGGCCCAGAAAATAGCAGCCTATTTATTTAGTGTTGACATGAGGATTTTAATTATTGGTATTAAAATAATGCCAAGCAAATAGATAATTCTACTGCTTCTAATTAATATGCATTAAGCATCTGCAATCTTTCAGGCATGACTAAATATTTAGCTTTAATTCAGAAAAAATTTCAGAAACTTGTGGGGCCAGAGAGATAGTCAGAGGGCTGGGGCACAAGCTCTGCATGCAGGGGTTTATGCCCGGCGATACATGGTTTCCTGAGCACTGAATGGCAACAACCCTCTGAGCATTACGGGCGATGGTCCCAAAACGAACAAGAAGAGTCACAATCTGGGGCAGTAGAGACAGCGCACACAGTCAGCCCTGGTTCCAACCAGTCCCTCGAGTTCCCACCAAGAGTGACTCCTGAGAGGAACCACGAAGAAGAAGCTCTGAGCACCTCCAGGTGTGGCCCCCCACAAAAAGAGACACTTGAGTTTACATTCTTCCTATTGACAAAAAGGATTTACTAATAATTTTTATTTATTTATTTTACTAACAATTTAAAAAAATATTTCTTCATGATTACTTAACTTCATGAAAATAACGGGTACTGGATACAGTTTACTGGAAGTCATCAAGCTGGCATGAATCTATAAAATCGCAGGTTTTTAACAAGCTACATAACATGTGTTTTCCCAGAATTCCAGATGACATTCCACTAGCTAATCCAAACTACTGAAGTTTTATTGTTATACTAGATGGAGCACTTACGATGCTGAAGGAGGCATTAGCCAAATATTTTGCTGACTCTTTTTAATGTCCTTTGATTTTGATTCCAGGGTTAACATCAGGCACCAGCGGTGGAAATATTCCAAGTGAATAAGCTTCAGATGCTGGGTTTCTTCTTCAATTTTGTGCAGCGTCTCAATAGGCACCAAGAGATCATCCATTTGCTGTTCAATTGCTCTGAAGATAAAATTCCGTATTAGAAATACATATAAAACATTTCACTGGCTGGCTCTGAAATGAATTATTTTTAAAATAATTATACGTTCATTCATCATAGTTAACAGAATTTATTAAAAGAAGTTTTTCTTCAAAAATATTTCAACATTGGGGAATTGGAGAGATTGTATAGCTGGCAAGGTGCCTGCCTTGCTTGTGGCTGACCTGGGTTCCATCCCTGTCATCCCATATGGTTCCTTAAGCCCCACTAGAAATGATGTCTGGGCGCAGAGCCAGGAGTAAGCCCTGAGCACTGCTGGATCTGACTCCAAACCAAACAATTAGAAATATGAAACGATTTGAATGTTGGGCCAGAGAGAGTTCAGGGTAAAAGCATTCGCTCTGCACGTGGCCATCCCTGATTCAATTCCCAGCACCATGTGGCCCCCCAACGCCACCGGCAACAACTCCTGGGCACTGAGCATAGTGGCCCCTGTCACAAAAAAAAAGAAGAAAAAAACCACTTCGGTATTTTGTGATCAGGGATGAGGCTCGTGAGAACCCATGTCTTGCATGGGCAAAGTCCTGGGCTTGGTCCCGAGCACTGCACTATTCTAGGAAAGGCCGAGTATGGCCCTTCTGGTTCCTAAACACTGTTGCCTGCAGGGCCCCTCCAGGAGGTTATTCCTACTGGGTATGACCCTCCACAACTAATAACACCGATGAAACTTCAACTTTTTAAAATTTTCTTTGTTTTGTTTATGAGCCTCACGCAGCGGTGCTCAGGGCTTTGCTCTGCATTCAGGGACCACTCCCAGCACGACTCAGAGAACCATACGGGGTATACCAGGGATGGAACCTAGGTCAGCCGCATGCAGCCTTACCTGATTTACTATCTCTCCGAGTCCAGACTTCAGCATTTTATGAGTCAAATAAATGGCTTTCCTGTTATATTTTTCTCAGGCCAAATCCAGCATTCCTAAGTGGCTATTCCTGGCTTGGGATTCCAGAGTAACTCCCAGAGTAACTGCTCAGGGAATCAGGCTCTTTCAGAAATGGAACCAAGTTCTCCCAGGTGCAAAACAAGCACTCGAAGCCTTGGAGCTATCTCCCCGACCCCAAATTATAAAACAAATGCATTAAGAACCCAATACTGTATCACCCTGCCTTTAGTGACTCTCTACAAACAACTGGAGTTTGGCATACACTAGTCATCATCCTTGTCAGTTCTAAATTAATGGCTTTTTGTAAGTCTGGAATTCTTGAAATAAAAGTCACTGGAAGAAAGTCAACAGAAGGGGCTGGAGTGATAGCACAGCAGGTAGGGCGTTTGCCTTGCACGCAGCCAACATGGCCGACACAGGTTCGATTCCCAGCACCCCATATGGTCCCCTGAGCACCGCCAGGAGCAATTCCTGAGTGCATGAGCCAGGAGTAACCCCTGAGCATCGCCGGGTGTGACCCAAAAAGCAAAAAAAAAAAAAAAAAAAAAAGAAAGTCAACAGAAGGGCCGAAACAATAGTACAGAGGGTAAGGGCACTTTTCCTTGCACACAGATGACCCGAGTTTGATCCCTGGCATCCCGCATGGCCCCAAGCCCCACTAGGGGTGGCCTAAAAACCAAAAACAAACAAACAACATAAAAACAGGGAGAATGCAGAAAATTCCTATCAGGGCTCTAGGTTCGATCTCCAGCACCCGATGGGCTCCTGATACTGCTGGGGAGAGACCCGATGGCCCTGAGCACTGCTGGACAGCTCCAAAATGAAACCAAAATGCACTGTAGCACTGTCCTCCCATTGTTCATTAATTTACTTAACGTCTCCATTGTGAGACTTGTTACTATTTTTGGCATATCGCAAACGCCACGGGGAGCTTGCCAGGCTCTGCCGTGTGGGCGGGATACTCAGTAGCTTGCTGGGCTCTCAAAATGAATGAAACCAAAATATAAGAAGATGGAAAATCATGTGAAGGATCAAAAAAATTTTGCTTACGGGGCTGGCATAGTGGGTAGGGTGTTTGCCTTTCATGCGGCCGACCAGGTTCGATTTCCAGCATCCCATAGGGTCCCCTGAGCACCGTGAGGAGTAACTCCTGAGTGCAGAGCCAGGAGTAACCCCTGAGCATTGCCGGGTGTGATCCAAAAAGCAAAAAAAAAAAAAAATTTTGCTTCCAATTAAATTTAAAGTTTTAATCTAGGGGCTGGAGCGATAGCACAGCAGGTAGGGCGTTTGCCTTGCACGCGGCCAACCCGAGTTTGATTCCCAGCATCCCATATGGTCCCCTGAGCACCACCAGGAGTAACTCCTGAGTGCAGAGCCAGGAGTAACCCCTGTGCATCTCCAGGTGTGACCCAAAAAGTGAAGAAAAAAAAAAAGTTTTAATCTAGAAACAAATATAAGGCAGCATAGAAAATGAGACATGATTTCAAAACGGGAAACGCACCAGGATCCAGGCAGCGCGCTCAAACGGGTAGTGAGCACATGCTGCCCGCGGGAAGCCAGAGGGCAGATCTGCAACGCTGCAGAGAGGGAACCCCGAAGAGGGGTCACTCGGTGGGGCTCCGAAACAAAGCACATCAAGACAAAACAAACATGACAAGATCATCAGGGCCGGACCAGGTAGCAGCAGGGTCGACCCATACTGCACTGAGCGCGTTCTCCACCTGAATCCTCGCTTTGGGAAGACGGCGTACCTGCTGTACAGAGCACAGCTGCCCGCTTGCGAACAGTATTTGCAGGTCTGCTGCTCCTCAATGATCTGTGGCAACGCAGCAAGCTTTGTCTTCTCCGTCCCAGCAGCCGATTTGCTAAGGCGGTGAAACAGAGAGAATGCCATCTGGTTTCTGAGCTTTAATAATTCTACGGAAACAAAACCAAAAAAGAGGTTTTACTTTTTTGAAAGACTGAAGTAAAGCCTGTATTTTTTCCCCCATTACGTATATCGCTCCAGCCCTGGAGCGATAGCACAGCGTAGGGCGCAGCCAACCCGGGTTCGATTCCTCCGCCCCTCTCGGAGAGTCAGGCGAGCTACCGAGAGTACCTCGCCCACTTGGCAAAGCCTGGCAAGCTACCGGGACGTAGTCACAGTCACAACAAGTCTCACAATGGAGACGTTACTGGGCCTGCTCGAGCCAATCGATGAACAACAAGAGGACAGTGCTACAGGACAGTGCATTATTCATATAAAACTCGATCCCTGGGACCCCACATGATCCCCCGAGCACCAGCAGGAGTGATCCTTGTGCACAGAGCCAGGAGTAAGTCCTAAGCACCGCTAGGTGTGACCCCAAAACAAAACGAATTTAAATAAAAATCACCACCAGTAACCCCTCCCCCCTTTTTGATTTCTGGGCCACACTGGGTGATGCTCAAAGGTTACTCCTGTCTCAGCACTCAGGAAGTCCTCCTGGCGGTGCTCAGGCGACCATATGCGGTGCGTGCACTGCCAAGCACCCTGCCTGCTCTACTATCTCTCCAAAACACTGTCCTGAGATGAGTCCTATCTAATAAACGCTGTGAAGCTGTAATCCCCTGCTCTAGACCAGTGTTTCTCAATCTTTCCCCAGCGGCAGCATCCTCCCAACCTTGCTTCCTTCCTGTGGTTTCCTCATTCTACTAGTTCGCTCTTATCTCACACCATGCACCCCTCATTTATACAATGGCCCTTGAACACCGCTAGGATCCTGAGGACAGAGCCGGAAACCCTGAGTACCTCGTGTGAGGACCGAATTCCCACGCAACCCCCCAACCCAAATATAAGTAGTATCAGAGATAGTTCAGCAGGGAGAGTGTGTGCTCTGCATGCAGAAGGCCTGGGCCCGATCCCAAACAAAACCAGGTCCCAAGCACAGCAATAGTAGCAATTCCTGAGATCTGCCAGGTGTGCCCCCACCCCCCCAGAAAAAAACAAAAACAAATTTACTTTTAAAAAATATATCAAACTAGGTACATATGCTGCCCAGGTCCATGTGCTGTTTGTGCCCACGTAGTCAAGCACATGCGTCGCCCGCAACTCCCCTCCTGAGATATGTGCTTTCATATGTTCATATCTAATGCTGGACATGTGTAGGAGTTCCCTCTGCCTTTGGAGAATCCCGTGTTCTCTCTCAAGTGTGTTTCTCTCTCTCTCTCTCACTTTCCCTACCTCCTGCCCTTACAAAACCTCCAAATAAAATTTGTCTTAAAAAAATATATATGTATGTATATGTGTGTATATCTAGATCTATATCTAGATCTAGATCTAGATATAGATGTGAAACTAGAGGCCAGGAAGATAGATCAGGACTAGACCTCCAGTTTAACCTACCCCCAGCTACCCAGTGTGGCTCTCGAGGTTTCAGAGTCCCTGGGTCCAAGCAGCACAGCATCACTGAGCCCCAGCAGGGAGTTGTCTGTCTCCAGGGCCAGGCTGGAAGCCATGAGTGGCCACAAGCCCTCCTGAATCTTGTGTGGGAGCAGCCCCCACACACAACCAAAAAAGAAACATCACAACCAAAACTACAGTCTGTGGTCAACTGGGCCTATCAAGTTCAGTCAGCAACTGTCAGAACCATCCAGTTTCAATATTTATCTCCAAAAGTTGAAGACCCCCCCAACAAACCAAGTCGGTGAAACAGAAAGCTAACACCCCCACCTCGCTTGTCCAGATGATTGGCGGGCACAGGGTACAGCTGGCCAGTCTTGAGGTAAAGGAGCAGGCCAGCCTCGGGGTCAGCTCTTCGCTCTTGGCTTAGCAGCGTGTACAGAACAAGCTGTGGAAACATGGCAAACCTGGTCAAAGAATCCAGGAACTCCGCATAATCACCGGGATGCCGGGCCACCCACACACCAAAAGGCAGAGACCTTCCAGGGTGTCACGGTGACTGTAGACTGTCCTGGCAGCCTTGGGTGTGGTTTGGATTGTCTAAGAGCTAAGCTCATGCCTCCTACACCCCAGGCCCTGGGTTTGATCCCTTGGCATCACTGTGAGGGAGAGAGCACACGGATGTGTGCGGTGGGAGAGAGTGGGAGAACAGGGAGCAGCGAGGCTGGCCCTGGGTGCTTCGACCAAACGTCTGGCAGAGTGACGACAAACTTAGGGAAAGCAGGACATATCACTGGGACATCGTGACACCCTGGAAGGTCTCTGCCTCGGGGGAAACCCAGGGTTGGCAAGCATCCGTCATGGGAGGCGCCCTCTGAGCAAGCCGCACTCCGGGAAGACTAACAAATCCAAACCACACCCTCGGCTGCCAGGACAGTCCACAGTCAAACTCACGGACAAGGTCAAATGCAACCTGGACCTCCAATTCCAGGTGCTTGCCGCCCAGCTGGGAGAGGAAGAGGAGAAAGAAGAGGAAATGGAGCGGGGAGAGCGTGAAGTCACAAGAAGAAGAGAAACAACAGCTGTGGTGTTCCACAGGGACCCCCAAACCTTTATTTAATCCCAGCCAGGGGCTTTCTTCCTTCATTTCCCTCCTCTCCATTTTATTTAACTAACGTATTGGCTTTCGGGCCACACGCGCCAGTGCTCAGGAATCATTCCTGGCAGGCTTGGGGGACCATCTGAGATGCCAGGGATCAGGCTTGTGCAAGGCAAACGCCTTCCCCGTGGCACTATGGTTCCAGTCCCTTTCTGTTCCACTGACAATAAACGCCTGCCTTAATTAATTTGTGCTCACGAAATCCACAGAACTAGGGACCAGCTGGCGGGGGGCGGGGGGGAGTGGGCTGCCCCCCATCACATTACCACCCCCAGAAGCAGCAACTCCAAAGCACAGAACGAAAAGCCCCTGAGCACTTTCAGGTGGGATCCGACCCCGACCCCCCCGAAATGAAACTCATCAGTGGGAAGGTAGAGCCCTGAGGCTGTGGGAAGGGCGTCCTCCACAGTGCCTGAGGTTCACGAGTTTTCCTCCTTGAGCACGCAGGCTCCCTCTGCTATACGTACCAGTAGGAAACACAAGTCTGAACTAAAACGCCCTCGGTATGATAAAAGGGGAACTGGGTTGACGTTTTACAATGCTACTGTCACTCTCTACCTCTCAAGTTACAGGGTTTCTGGAAGCTGACGGAGGGATCCCAACCCAGGTGACATTTCAGGGCCACACCTGACTCTGCTGGGGATCTCTCCAGCCAATGATGGAGAAACGTGGGGCTGGGAACTGAACCAGAATTGGCCACCCCTGTACCATTCCAGACACTGCTAGTGCACCTTTGAAAGCTGCCCCAAGTTTTCATCCCAGGGGCCAGGGAGATGAACTTGGTAGGGAGCAGCTTCCCACGGGGTACCAAATTAATACTTACACTTACTAATGGGACCATTTTGAAATAGGTACAAATGCTAAGCCATTGTGCTAGGTACCTGAAACTAATAATGCTGTATACACATTAACCTAATTTTTAAAACATTCTTATTCTTAAAAATTCTTAGAGCTGGAGCTAGAGACAGCACAGTAGATAGTTACTTGCCTTGCAGTTTGACCCCAGAGATGGTATACATGCTTTGCATGTAGGAGGACAGATTCAATCCACTGGGGAGTTGGGGAAGATACCCACATTGTCCCTCAATCATCACTGAGAGTGACAGCCAGCAAAGCACCACAAGCAGTCCCTGAACACTGCTGGCTGTCGCCAAAAACAAAGCATCCCACACACACACACACACACACACACACACACACACACATACATACACAGATGTTATATGTGTATAGACATAAGTATTAAGCAGTATAATGTCTGAATGTTAGACATAGACAATTTTCTTATTAAGACTAATACCTGACTACGATGCTCAATAGAGTTTGATTCTTTACCAGTTTTCAGTTCCAGGGGCATTATCTTATATTTCATTTTACCTCCTCGATGTATTTTCACACCAACTGTAACATCTATTTTGCCCTTCAATCCAAACCTAGGAGACCAAATGCTTTCTTCAATATCCAATGAGTTTACTACTTCAATATTGCATACTGGGCTACTGTTATTCCCATCACTTGGCCTAAAAAAAAAAAATAATAATTAGAATATTTAGCTAATTTCTTATCTGCTACCACAAGTATACGGCTGATCTTGGGTCCAATCCCTGGCAGCCCCCCCAACCCCCCATGGTCTCCCGAGCTTGACCAAGCATGATCCCTGAGTGCATTCAGGAGTAAACCCTGAGCACCACATAGATCAGAAGTATCTGCATCACTTGCAAACTTACATTTTTAACTCCAGATCTACTCTACAAGTGAGACCTGACATATACTTAATAACCCTCCAAGTGATTCTCATACGTGCTCTAGACTGAGAATTAACTACATACAGGCTCTTACTCATAAAATGTCAATTTCCTTAATATTGATCCTATGACTTGTTCAATTTGTTCCTCCCTAAGGTCTTTATTTCCTTCGGGGGCTGGGGTGGAGTGGGGAAAGTCCGCCCACACTCGTCTACTGTCAGCACTTGCCACTGGCTGTGCACGCAAAGATAACCTCTTGTAGGCTCAGGGGATCATTTTGGGTATCAGGAATCAAACCCAAGGGAGCCACATGCAAGGCAAGTGCCTCACCCACTGTACTATCACTCCGGCCCCTGAGGTCTCTAGTTCCTTTGGCCTCGATCACAGGAAGAGTTTTGCTCCTTAGACTGCTCCAGCTAAATTAATACTTTTTGTTCTTGTTGTTTGTGAGAAACACCTGGTGAGCTCAGGGGACCATATGAGATGCCAGGGATTGACTCCAGAGTAGCAGGGTGCAAGGCCAGTGCTCTGTCCACTGTACTATCAGTCTAGCCCACACCTTCACACAATTACCTAAATGGCAATTTTAAAATCACAATCACAACCATCCTGTTATTCGTCGATTGCCTCCAGCAGGCCCCAGTAACGTCTCTTCGTCCTGGCCCTGAGATTTTTTTTTTAAAAAAGTGCCATATTCAAGGCTCTTTCAGGGTTAGGAGAATGAGACCCATCATTGTTACTGGTATTTGGCATATTGGGTACGCCACGGGAAGTTTGCCAGACTCTGCCGTGTGGGCAGGTGACATTCGCTAGCCTGCCAGTTTGTCCAAAGCAGGAATGAGATGATAAGATTGCCATTGTTAAGGCAATTTTAAAAAGTTTTTTAAAAACAGAACAGTTCCTTCAACATATGAAATAGAACCCTGATCCAAACATACAAACACCACGTAAGACAAATAACAAATGGGCTCATTACAGAGAGAGCTTCATCTGAGGAAAGTCAGCTGCACTCTCTTTGTGCATGAAGTCGTCAGCCCATTTAGAAAACGACGGAAGGTATTCCTCTATGTCTTGTTTTATTTCATCTTGATTCAGATTTAAGCGATACCTGTCAAAATAAGAGCAATAAATACGATACTGTAAATCAGCTAGAAAACATGAACCGATCAACCCAAGTTCTTTTCGTTTTGGTTTCATTTGGGGGCCACACCTGAACATTCTCAAGGATTATCCTGGCTCTGTACTCAGGAATCACTCCTGGCAGTGCTCAGGGGACCATATGGGGTACTGGGGATCGAACCCGGGTCCGCCACATGCAAGGCCTTACCCCCTATATTAGCTCTCTGGCCCCTCAACGCAAATTCTTATCTATTCAATACTGGATAAGAAAATATACAAACAGTGGGAAAAATATCCAGCCTTAAGATGGAGGAGAACAGAAACCTCGTACTCCTACAAAACAGCCAGTTCAGGGGCCGGCGTGATCACGCTGCCCAGAGGGCGCTGGCCTTGCACACAGCCAACCCAGAACTGATCCCAGTGCCCCATAGGTCCCCCAAGCAGGGTGGGCAGTGCCAGCAGTAAGGCCCAAGCACCACTTTCTTTTCCCAAACACACAGAAAGTGACAAGAGAGACCGTTCAACAGGGCAAACAAAATGAGCAGCCATCCTCTGCCAGCTCCGCTTTTACTAAGAACAACAGGGACTTGCAGTAAAAAGAGAAGCTGAAACAGCTCCAAATCAGGTTGTGACTGGTGTGGCCCAAAACCAAACTAAATAAATAAATAAATATATTTTTTGGCTTGCACCCATTGGAGATCAGGGATTACTCCTGGCGGCGTGCTAGACTATCTCACTGGCCCTGACATTTCTGTGGGGGAGTGGGGGTGGTTTGTTTGGCTTTTGTTGTTTTTTGTGGCTGACACTCAGCAGTACTGAGGACTTACTTCTGGCTCTGCGCTCAGGGATCAGTCTTGGTGGGGTTGGGGGGCCATATGGAGTGCAGAGGATTGAACCTGAGGCAGCGGTGTACAAGGCAAGGGCCCTACCCACTCACTGTACTATCAACCTGGCCCCAAGTTCATTGTATCCCTTTGATTTGCCTCTGGGCCCACTCCCAGCAGTGCTGAGGGGCTACTACTAAGTCTGTGCTTGAGAACTCCGCGGTGCCAAGGGCCAAACCCAGGCCTCCTGATGCAAAGTCCACGCTCACCCCACTAGCCCCCTCCAGCCAACACTCCAAATTAGCAACATTTTCAGCATCCACAAAAGGGCATCTGTCCTAGAGGGGAAAACGTGCTATAAGGGACATTACCAGATGAAACTAAGATGTGGACAGATGAGGAAAAAGTATCCAAACACTATTAAATTTCTTGAAAGTGGTTAGCTATACTATCACAAAAGAGAAAATACTCTTGGGAAATACGAACACAGTATTTTTTTTTTCTTTTTCTTTTTCTTTTTTTTGGCCTTTTGGGTCATAGTTGGCGATGCTCAGGAGTTACTCCTGGCTTTGCACTCAGGAATTATTCCTGGCAGTGCTTGGAGGACCATACAGGATGCTGGGAATCAAACTGGGTCGGCTGTGTGCAAGGCAAACGCCCTACCCGCTGGACTATCGCTCCAGCTCCAAACACTTTCTTTTCTTTTTTTGGCTTTTTGGGTCACGCAGGGGATGCTCAGGGGTTTACTCCTGGCTCTGTGCTCAGGAATTACTCCTGGCAGTGCTCAGGGGACTATATTGGATGCCGGGGATCAAACCTGAGTCGGCCACGTACGAGACTAACACCCTACCCGCCGTGCTATCACTCTGGCCCCAACACTGTATGTTCTTAACTCCAGCACAAGCATGAGGTCAACCTACCCAACCCCACAAATGTAAAGGGAATAACCAACAGTTCATTAAGTGAAATGCACAAAGGCCAACGTACAAGCTTCAAGAATTTTTCATGCGTTTGTTTTGGGGCCACACACACCAAAGCTCAGGGGTTACTCCTGAGTCTTTGTTCAGGAATCTCTGCTGGCCAAGCTCAGGGAACCATATGGTGTGCCAGGGATCAAACCCAGGTTGGCTACAAGCCAGGCAAATGCCTATCCTCCATGCTATCTCTCCAGTCCCATCTTACCCGTTCCATGGTGGTTTAACATATGTACCGATGCTAAAAGATAGCATTAAGGTCTGGGGACGTGGCTCAGTGGAAGAAAAAAACAAAAATCAATTAAATAGACAAAAAAACGTATATGATTGAATGAGAGCCATAGTTCCTCTCATAGCTACGGTACATACATTTCCTTCAGATGTCTTATTTCTTGAAGAGTTTGAGATGCAAGTTGTCGTAGCTTTTCTAGCGCAAAGGTATCACGTATGGCTTTTTGGAAAACTTCATGGAGAACAGTACCAACCAGCATTTGGCGTGTGACGAGATCGGAGCTCTACACAAACAAATCATACAAACATTTCATTTCACAGCATAATGACCTACATGATCATATGCATACTTCCTACCAAACCACCAGAGCCAAAACGCACTGTGGTATTATGGAGCAAGACCAAAACAGATCACAATTTTTATCTCAGTGGGTAGAATTACATGTGATTTTTCTTTCTTCTTCTCAAAATTATCTAATTTAAGAACAGGCTGGACATGAACAACCGGTGTTGACATGGATGTGGGGAAAAAGGAACGCTTATCCACTTCTAGTGGAAAATCTTCAACCATTTTGGAAAATACAGACACCTTAAAAAAAAAACTGAGAATTGAGCCTCAAACACAAATAAAAACCTAAGAATCAAGCTTCCATGTGACTAGCAATTCCACTCCTGGCGATCAACCCTAAGGGATCAAAAACTCTATTCTGAAAAGATACTTGAACTCCTGTGTTCACTGCAGCACTATTTACAATAACCAAAATCTGGAAACAACCCAAATGTCCAAGAGCAGATGACTAGTAAAGAAACTGGAGGAAAAATAAATAAAGAAAAAAAAAGAAGAAACTGTAAAATATATATGGGGACCAGAGCGATGGTACAACAGATAAGGCATTTGCCTTGCATGAGGTCAACCTAGGTTTGATCCCTGGCATCCCATATGGGCCCCCAAGCATCACCAGGAATGATTCATGAATGATGAATGCAGAGTCAGGAGTAAATCCTGAGTACCACTGGGTATGACCCTTAAACCAAAGGTAAAGGTAAAGGTAAAGGTAAAGGTAAAGGTAAAGGTAAAGGCCCTCCCGTTGATCGTCGATTTGCTCGAGCGGGCCCAGTAACGTCTCCATTGAAGACTTTGTTGTTACTGTGTCTGGCATATCGACCCTTAAACCAAAAAAAAAAAGAAAAAGAAAAAAAAAGAAACTTTGGAATACATACACAATGGAATATTACTAAACTGAAAAAAAGGTGAAATCATGTAACTTGCTGCAATGTGGATGGAAGTGGAGAGAATTGAGCAGAGTGAAGTCAGTCAGGAGAAGGACAGAAGATCTCTCATGTGTGAGACACCAAGAAGAGCAGAAGGGGAATAATAAGTAACCCAAAGCAGCAGAACCTGTGAAGTGGCCTGCAGAACTGAGCTCACCATGCCAGGGAGACAAAGGAGGGTTCCGGGGGCAGGGGGCGGGGCCTGGATCCAGAGCCAATGGTGGAGAAACAGACACTCGAGGTGGGCTGTGGGGTTAGCACCCTGCAGGGAAGGCGCCCTCAAGTCTATGTTCTCCCTCCAGCACCTATTTCACTCGCCTGTCTCTTTCGTTTTCACTCTGAAAAAGGCCGTGTTCTCTCTCGAACACATACTTCTCCCTCTCTCTCCATTCGCCTCAACCTAAATAAATTCCAATAAAAACTTTCTTGCTTCACCAAAAAAAAAAAAAGTGTGTGGATGAAATCCTATCATTGACAAGTTCTGTAAATCTTGGGTAGTAAAAATTCTGTTTAAGAAAAGAGCCAACAAGAAAGAAGAACAAAAAACAAAAACAAAAAAAAATGAAAAGAGCCAGGACTGGGATTGGAGCAACAGCAGAGCGAGTAGTGCATTTGCCTTGCACACGGCCGACCCAGGTTCGATTCCCAGCATCCCATACGGTCCCCCGAGTACCGCCAGGAATAATTCCTGAGTGCAGAGCCAGGAGGAACCCCTGTGCATTGCTGGTATGACCCCAAAAAAGCAAAAATAAATTAAAAAAAAAAAGAGTCAAGACTAATCCGTGAGCATTACTGGGTGTGGCCAAAAAAACAAAAAAAAAAAAATTTAAAATAAAAAAATAAAGGGGCTGGAGAGAGAGCACAGCGGGTAGGGCGTTTGCCTTGCACATGGCCGACCCGGGTTCAATTCCCAGCATCCCATATGTACCTGTGCACCGCCAGGTACGACCCAAAAAGCAAACTAAATAAATAAATAAATAAATAAGTAAATAAAGAGGAGACAGAGATAATTCCACAGCATGGTACCTGTCCTGCACACGGCTGATGATCCAAGTAGAGCCAGGAGTAAGCCCTGAGCACTGCCAGGTGGGCATCCCCCTCACGGTGCCCAAATCACAGATATATATAATATATATGTGTGTATATTTTTATGTACAAATAAATTTTTTATTGAACTGTTTTGTTTGGGGGGTCACACCCCCAGTGGTACTCAGAAAGCTCTCCTGGTACTGCTTGAGGGACCTTATAGGATACCAGAAATCAAAGCCATGTTGGTCACATGCAAGTTACGCGCCCTGCTTACTGGACTATTTCTCCAACTCACACATTTCATTTTTGTTAAAACACATCGAACATTAGAATCATTTAAGAAATTACTATTGATTATGAGAAAGTTATATTTTCTTTTTTTTTTTCTTTCCTCCCACCCAAGGATATTTATTTACGAAAATCTTTACCCTTCTTTGACCTGCAAAATCGTACCTGGGGCCTAGGGATTTGCTCAGCGACCCATCTCTTACCTGGCTGAAGGGGTCCTGGTTTCAATTCCCAGCACCACTTCCCGAAAGGTTGGAGTACGGAAAAATGGAGGCATGGAAGGCTGGTAATTCCTTACGCATACTTGAAATTTTCCCTGCCTTTTTATTTTAGTTTTGGGCCATCGCCAGCTATGCTCAGGGCTCACTTCTAGCTCTGCACTCAGGGGACCATATAGGGCGCTGGGGATCGAACCCCGGTTGGCCACACGCAAAGCAAATACCCTGCTCTCTGTAATAGTGCTCTGGCACCACAGTCTTAGAGACCAAAATTATCTTTTACGGAAATCATATGAAGCGGAGTCTAGAATGCATAAATGTATTAAATTTTTTTAAACGTAATCGTTTTGGGGGGAGGGGTGTTGGGCACATTCAACAATGCTCTTATTCCCAGCTCTGCACTTGGGGTCTCAGGGAGCCGCAGTGCCAGGATCAAGTCCAGGCTCCTGCACGCACTCAGTCCCCTGACATCTCTCTCTGGTTCTTATTTCATCCTCTTGGTTTTTTGGCTTTTGTTTCTGTTTTGTTTCATTTCGGGGGAGGCACACCTGGCAGCGCTCAGGGATGACTCCAGGTGGTGCTCAGCTGACGGTCTGGGATGCCAGGGACTGAACCTGAGTGGGGCCTGTGCAAGGGAAGCACCTACCTGCCGCACTACCACATCAGCCCCCTTACTGCATCTTCTCACTGGAATTATTCTTTTTTTGGGGGGGGGGGGGGCGGTCACACCTGGCGATGCTCAGGGGTTACTCCTGGCTCTGCACTCAGGAATTCCTCCTGGCGGTGCTCAAGGGACCCTGTGGGATGCTGGGAATCGAACCCGGATCGGCCACATGCAAGGCAAACGCCCTACCTGCTGTGCTATCTCTCCAGCCCTGGAATTATTCTAAAGGGCTAAACAAAATGCAAAGAATTGAGGCATCTGGTCCTGAGTTCTAGCACTTACTACACCAGTGTGATTCAGTAATTACCTTCTCTGAGTCTGACTATCCTCCTAGGCAAAGGCACAGGATTCTGGGGGAGAAGTCAATGAAAGTAAAGTGTAAAAGAGGGGGCTGGAGTGATAGCACAGCGGGTAGGGCGTTTGCCTTGCACGCGACCGACCCGGGTTCGATTCCCAGCATCCCATATGGTCCCCTGAGCACCACCAGAAATAACTCCTGAGTGCAGAGCCAGGAGTAACCCCTGAGCATCACTGGGTGTGACCCAAGAAGCAAAAAAAAAAAAAAAAAATGTAAAAGAGACTAAGGAGGATTGGAGCAACAGTACAGCAGGCAGGGTGCTTGCCTTGCACGCAGCTGATGCTAGTTCAATCCCTGGCACCCCAAAGGGTCCCCCAAGCACCGCTATGAGTGATGCCTGAGCACAGAGTCAGGAGTAAGCCCAGAGCAATGACAGGTGTGCCCCCCCCAAAAAATGAAAATAAAAATGTGGGGATACTCGGAAGACAGTTCAAGGACTGGAACACATCGCCAAACCAAGCATCACCATAAAGCTCTGGTGGTACCCAGCACTGCTGGAAAGGAAGTATAAAAGTGCTCCGCAAATTCTAAGCCCCGATAGAAACATCAGCTATTAATATTATTCACCCTGAAAATTTCACTCAAGACAGCTCGTCTCATACATCGGATACTACTGGCAACGCTTGTACCAGAAATAAACATATCTGGATACAGAATTAAATATCCCGAATCTTCATCTATTATCCAAGTATCAGATGTGCAGTCTCCCTCCAAATGGATGATGTCCCCAGGAGCAACTGGTACAGAGCACCTGAAAATAAAGCATAATTAAAGCATAAATACATAGTTGGCATCCTGTACATAAAAAAGGCTTCAAAAAATTATCTTGAGAAATAAAAAGTTTTGGGGCTGGAGCAATAACACAGCAGGTAGGGCGTTTGCCTGGCACACAGTCAACCCAGGTTCGATTCCCAGCATCCCATATGGTCCCCTGAGCACCGCCAGGGGTGATTCCTGAGTGCAGAGACAGGAGTAACCCCTGAGCATCACCAGGTTTGACCCAAAAACAAAAACAAGAAAAATTTTTTTTTGCTTCACTAGAAAAAAAAAAAACAGATTTCCAATTTTCAGGGGTCTATATACAATTAAACACCAGACTGCAGTCTTTCTACCGTCAAACAAAACCCATGGATTTTCCTGAAATTCCAAAAGAAAAAGTTTTTGCTCCAAGTAATGATTTTATTTTCTTTTGGGTCACACTCAGCAATCCTCAGGAGTCACTCCTAGCTGTGCACTCAGGAATTATTCCTGGGGGGCTGGAGCGGTAGCACAGCGGGTAGGGCATTTGCCTTGCACTCGGTCAACCCAGTTTCGATTCCCAGCATCCCATATGGTCCCCCGAGCACAACCAAGAGTAATTCCTGAGTGCAAAGCCAGGAGTTACTCCTGTGCATCGCTGGGTGTGACTCAAAAAGCAAAAAAAAAAAAAAAAAAAAAAGCATTACTTCTAGCTGTGCTTGGGAGACCATCGTCACTCTGAAGAAGTGCGATGCCGCACTGGACGGCTACATGCAAAAAATAGGCTCAGAACTCTGCCTAACACCATGTACAAAAGTAAGATCAAAATGGACTAAAGACCTCAACATCAGACCAGAAACCATAAGGTACATTGAAGATAAAGTTGGCAAAACCCTCCATGACATTGAAGCTAATGGTATCTTCAAAGATGCCACGCCACTGGCCGAGCAAGTGAAAACAGAGATAGATAAATGGGACTATCTTAAACTAAGAAGCTTCTGCACCTCCAAAGAAACAGTGACCAAAATACAAAGACAGTCTACAGAATGGGAAAGGATATTCACCAAATATACCTCTGACAAGGGGTTGATATCCAGGATATACAAAATACTGGTTAAACTCCACAAGAAGAAAACATCCAACCCCATCCAAAAATGGGGCAATGAAATGAACAGAAACTTTCTCAAAGAAGAAATCCGAATGGCAAAAAAGCACATGAGAAAATGCTCTACATCATTAATCATCAGGGAGATGCAGATCAAAACCACAATGAGATACCATCTCACACCTCAGAGACTGGCCCACATTCAAAAGAACAAAAGCAACCGATGCTGGCGTGGATGTGGCGAGAAAGGGACACTCCTTCACTGTTGGTGGGAATGTCCACTGGTTCAGCCCTTCTGGAAAACAGTATGGACGATTCTCAAAAAATTAGAAATTGAGCTCCCATTTGACCCAGCAATACCACTCCTGGGAATATATCCCAGAGAGGCAAAAATGTATAGTCGAAGTGACATCTGCACTTGTTTGTTCATTGCAGCACTCTTTACAATAGCCAGATACTGGAAGAAACCTGAATGCCCAAGAACAGATGACTGGTTAAAGAAACTTTGGTACATCTACACAATGGAGTACTATGTAGCTCTTAGAAAAGATGAAGTCATGAAATTTACATACAAGTGGTACAACATGGAAAGTATCATGCTAAGCGAAATGAGTCAGAAAGAGAGGGATAGACATAGAAAGATTGCATTCATCTGGGGGATATAAAGTAACAAAGTATGAGATTAATACCCAAGAATAGCTGAGATCAGCCCCAGGAGGATTACTCCATAACTTAGAGGCCAGCCGGGTATCCTAGAGGAAAGGGCAGTTCAGATAGAGAAGGGAGCACCAAATAAAGGATGTTTGGAGGATCCTCCCAGGAGGGGAGATGCATGTCGAAAGTAGACTATGGACTGAACATGTTTGCCACTCAAAGCCTCTTTTGCAGACCACAACACCCAAAAGGAGAGAGAGAACACAGGGGATTTCCCTGCCACAGAGACAGGGGGGATGGAGGGATGGGGGTGGGAGGGATATTATCCATGGTGGTGGAAAATGGGCACTGGTGGAGGGATGGGTATCTGATCATTGTATAATTGAAACCAAAGCACAAAAAATTGTAAATCTACAACTGTAAAAAAAAATAAAAATAAGATATTTTAACTTAGCAAAAAAAAAAAAAAAAAAGAAGTGCGATGCCGGAGATTGAACTCAGGTAGGCCACTTGCAAGGCAAATATCCTGCCCACTGTAATATCGCTCCGGCCCCTCCAATTTATGACTGTGGGGCTTTCTGTTTATTTTGGGGGTCACACCTAGCAATGCTCAGGGATCATTCCAAGCAGGACCATATGAGATGCTGAGGCTCAGACCTGAGTAGCAGAGTGCAGGTCAAGCGCCCTACCTGCTGTACCATCACTCAGGCCCCTAACAATTGTGTTTTAACAATAATTCTCTGATTCTAAAGATTTACAATGTGATAAACAGCTTCCATAAGTCTTAAGGTACAAAGCAAAATTCAACCCAAGCACAAAAATTTGTAAGTCTGCAACTGTATCTCCTGGTGTTTCGCTAATAAAAGTTCAAAATAAATAAGTAAATAAAGCAAAATTTAGTGGAGCAAGAATTTATCTTACTGTTCAGTTCAAAGAACAAATAGACTTTAAGCTGCATTATTGAAACAGAAGATACCTGAAGATAGAAAATCGATTGAATCGATAAGGCAAATGCCTATCTGCCAGGGGTGACCCCAGAGCAGAGTCAGGGAGAAGCCCTTAGTATAGCACAGCCTAAAAATCAGCCAGATCAGTGTTCAAATATCACAAAACTCTTACCAGCTGTTCCTCAGGATGCACAATTCTTTATTCTGTAGTGACTGAGAAGCTGTGATTGTCAGGTGCTTTTCAAGTTCCCCGTCTTCATTCTGCACAGGATTGACGGCTAAGACTAGAAATCGATTATCCATCCCTTGGCTCAGCACTGTTTTAGAAAAAGAAGCTTCCACATTCTTCTGAAATCTAAAGCATACACCAAAAAAAAAAAAAAACCGAATTAGTACAAGCATAAAGTAAGAAATCACCCTATCTCCTTTATCCAGGTGAAAAGAGAAAAAACGACCTAAGGATCAATCACTAGATGCTCAGGGGACCCTCTGCACTGTAAGGGGCCTGATGGGGGTCCGCTGCATGCAAAGCAAACACCTCGTGCCCTGTATTCTCTCTCTAGCCTCCCGACATACCGATTATTTAATGCAGGAAATCCTTCCATGAGACATTACTGGGGATCAACTAAGTAGCCTCTGCTTTACAGAAAAAGCAAGCGTAATTCCTGTCTCTCTCGGTCTTTCATAAAGTAACTCAGAAATTTTCATATTCACAAGGAGCTAGGCCAATTTCACACTCTTCTTCCCACGGATTCCAGCTACCTGAAATTATGCCAAATACATTAACCTCTCCAGAAAACAACCCTTCTCTTACGATGTGCCACTTATTTCCTGTTTCTAGCAAGTCTTTATCAGTGACAATCAACAAGTTTCAAATCATGGTTGCTAAAAACCGAATCGCTCACATTCGACCCCTAAACCATCTTCATCATCCAACCCTTCGTTCTATTTCGTTCTATGACAACTCACTCACCTGACCTAGGGAGCTTCACGTGAATTTCCCAAGGTCAGTGGGGGTGCATTTCACAAAAGGATTTCACTAAGTCCCTAAAATAAAATGCAAGGATCCATCAATAATTTGCATCAGTGTCATTACCACTGAAAATAATTTCATCAAATATTTCTTTACATATGAGGGTAATACTGACCCGGAAAAGTCCTGCAATAACTTTTAACTGTTCAAGAAATATCACCCAAACTCCCTGCTAAAACTCCATGGATATAGTGTTCCACAGAAGTCACACTCTGGAAAATGCTGGCCGCCTACACAAGATCCTCGTAAAAGCAAAGCTTATTTATATTTATATTATACTTTCAACTGTTCCTCTTCCTTCTTGTCTCTACAGCCTTCATTTTTCTAGCCTCTTGCTTTCAGATCCTGTCACTTGACACCCAGTTTTATCACTATTAAAATTCTCTCTAAAGTCACCCAGGGGGCCAAAGAGATGGCAGAAGGGTAAAGTGTGTCTGGCTGACCCTGTGAGACCTGGGCATCAAATATGGTCATCTCCACGAGCACCACCAGGCACAACCCCTGAGCACTACTGAGTGCGGTCTGAAAACAAAGAAACAAACCAAAAAAACTCCAACTTTAATAAACACTCAGAAAATAAAGTTACCCAGGGACCTGAGTGATAGAACAGTGTGCAAGGGATTATTGGTAGTACAAGGTAGGGTGTTTGCCTGGCACACAGTCAACCCAGGTTCAATCCCTGGCATCAAGTGTGGTTTTCTGAGCACCTCCAGGAGTGATTTCTGAGTGCAGAGCTAGGAGTAAGCCCTGAACACCGCCGGAAGTGATCCCCCGAAATAAATTAATTAAATTAAATCAAGTTATCCAGAGCTGGGGATGTGGCTCAGTAGTAATCTACAAGCCTAACATGTATAAGGCAGAGTTTGATTCAGAACTGAGGGGTGGAAAAATTCCTCAAAGTTCCTTACTGTTCATCTAGTGAGTGGATGTTCAATTGTACTCAAGAAAATAAGTATTTCTGGGGCTGGGGCGATAGCACAGCAGATGGGGCGTTTGCCTTGCACGCGGCGGACCCAGGTTCGATTCCCAACATCCCATAGGGTCCCAACATCCCATAGGGTCCCCGAGCACCGCCAGGAGCAACTTCTGAGTGCAGTGCCAGGCGTAACCCCCTGTGCATCACCGGGTGTGAAGTAAAAAGCAAAAAAGAAAGAAAGAAGCATTTCCTACTTGATGATTTAAAAAGGAAATAAAGGGGATGGAGCCACGAACAGCAGGACTGTACGTGGCAGCTGCCTTGCACACAGCCGATTGGGGCTCCATCCCCGGCGTCCTACCTGGTCACCCAAGACTGCCAGGGATAATTCTTTTTTTTTTTCTTTTTTTTTTTCTTTTTTATTAGTGAAACACCATGAGGTACAGTTGTAGATTTACAAATTTTTGTGCTTGGATCTCGGTCATACCACGATCAAATACCCATCCCTCCACCAGTGCCCATTTTCCCTGGGATAATTCTTGAGTACAGAGCAAGGAGCAAGCCCTGAGCATGCTGGGTATGGCCCGAAAAGAAGAGAGAGAGAGAGAGAGAGAGAAATAAAAGATCCCCACCCCAATGCCAATATTCCCGGGCCACTTTCAGCTCCTCCTTTAATAAAAATCTTCCAAACAACCAGAGAGCCAGCAGGGAGTTGCATGTGCAAGGCTCGTGCCCTGCACATGGGAAACCTCCTTGGGTCCCCAGGCCCACTCGGGGAGGGCCCTGGGCGTAGCCAGGAGAGACCCCCGAATGCAAGGCCAGGAGGCACCCCTGAGAACACCCTGCGAGTGCAAGACCACGAGGAAAACCACCAGTTCCTCCGACTGCAGAGCGAGAAAAGCGCTGGGCACGTGGCGTTTCCTTTCGCAAGGACGCTTAGCCCACCTTGGCCCCCTGGGTTCGGCGGGAAAGAGGCGAAAGCAGGGCAGGAGGGCCCTGCTGCGCGGACGCCGGCCGCAGAGGGCCCCCGAGGCCCAGCTCCGGGGTCGCGTCCAGCGGGCCCGCGGCCTGGCGTCCAGCCCCTCCCTTTCAAATCTCCCGCGTCCTCCCCCGACGCTCCACCCCGCCGCGCTCCCGCTCACAGCGCCTCGGGCCGCGCCGCTTCCTCCCCGAAGCTTCTCTCCACCAGCCACTCCACGTCGTCCAGCTGCTCCATCCCGGCGGGGACGCGGGGGTCGCCCGGGGAAACCGCGGCACAGTCCCACTCCCGCGGCGCGGGAAACGGGGCAGGGGGGCGGGGGGGGGAGGAGAAGCGGCCCGGCCACGCCTACGAGCCGCCGCGCGCATGCGCCCTTCCGCCGCCGCCGCCGCCGCCGCCGCCGCCCGGAGGCCACGCCCCCACGCCCGAGACCCCGCCCCTGCGCGCTGGTAGCACCTGGGCACAGGCCTCATCCAGGGCTTCATCACCTCCTGGAAAAACGCTCTCCGACTTGCCCAACGCTAAGACCTCCCCCTTTATTTATTTATTTATTTTTATTTATTTATTTTTTTTGCTACCAAATGTAACATGCCCACACGGCAGAGTCTGGCAAACTCCCCGTGGTATACCCAATATGCCAAATACCAGTAACAATGATGGGTCTCATTCTCCTAACCCTGAAAAAGCCTTGAATATGGCACTTTAAAAAAAAAAATCTCAGGGCTAGGACGAAGAAGACGTTACTGGCACCTGCTCGAGGCAATCGACGAACAACAGGGTGGTCGTGATCGTGATCGTGATTTTTTTTGCTCTTTTGGGTCACACTTAGTGATGCTCAGAGGTCACTCCTGGCTCTGCACTCAGGAATTACTCCTGGCGGTCCTCGGGGGACCACATGGGATGCTGGGAATCGAACCCGGGTCGGCTGCATGCAAGGCTAACCGCCCTACCCGCTGTGCTCTCGCTCCAACCCCAAAACCTCCCCTTTTTAGTCCAGCACCCGTTCCTAGTTTGAACATAATTATTGCAATTGCCCAGACCCGAGTGTCCTGCTTAGGCTTTGTGATTTTGTATTCTTTAGAAAACTCTTTTACCAGAAAACCGAGAAAATAGAAACTGACGGAGAAGAACGCCTTCATCAAGCTCCCGCTGAATCCAGGAAGCTACCAATAACATCCAGGTCTGCTTCGTCACTTCTTCCCGCTTTCAACTGTAGGCCAAGCGTTCATCCTATCAATTGCATGCTCAGATCTACCATTCTCAAGGGCATTGTTGGTCTTCCTTTCTCTCTTTCTCTCTCTTTCTTTCTTTCTTTCTTTCTTTCTTTCTTTCTTTCTTTCTTTCTTTCTTTCTGGTCACCCCCCCGGCGATTCTCTGAGGTTACTCCTGTCTCTGCATTGTTACCACTCCTGGTGGTACTCAGGGAACTGTATGGGATGTCCAAGATTGGCTGCATGCAAGGCAAACGCCTTACCCGCTGTACCATCGCTCTAGACCTCTCTTGCATTCTTTCCTGTCGATTGGTCCTATTTTTTGTTTCTATTCCGCTTTTTTCATCAGTATCCTCTTGTGTTTTATGCATTATGTTCCATGAAATATGTTTGTTCATTTGGGGGAGGGAGGGGTCAGACGTGGGTACTCATGGTTCTGTGCTTAGGGATCACTCCTGGTGGGCTCCAGGACCAGATATAGAGGTATAGAACTTGTGTCAGCTGTGGGCAAAGCAAGCACTGCCTTTTCTTTCCAGCCCCCAGAGAGGGGGTGTGTGTGTGTGTGTGTGTGTGTGTGTGTGTGTGTGTGTGTGTGTTTATTGCCCAGTCACCGCTGAGTCATTTAACATTTTTATTTTTGCTATCTTGAATAAAGCTGCTACCAATATATTTGTGTAATTTTTACTTTTTGCCAGAGGATAGTTAGTTTTGTCAGTCGTTACGGAGTAGCATCCACAGGTTCAAAACGGGTTGCAGTGTTTGGTCCTTCATGGGTAGTATTGAGTATTCCTGAGTATTTTGCTTTGAAAGGCACAGCACATTCAGTAATTTCATTCCACACACAGCTGGCAGAGCACATAGGGCGCAAAGACACTCCCTTGGGAAATAACCCCACGAGCTTCAGACTCTTTCCTTTGAAAAACTTTACCACCACTCCTCAAGGGATGGAGGGTCTCTGATGTGGACCACACCCCACATAATCAGAATTTAAATATGACTGCTTAGGGGTCACTCCTGAGAGTGTTTAGGCACCATGGGAGGTGCCAGGATCGAACCCTAGTCAGCAGCAAGTAAGGCAAGTGCTTGAACCATTGTGCTCTCTTTCCAGCCCTTGAACTATTTTTTCATTTTGGCTTCTGGACCACACCAGTGTCCTCAGAGGTCACTCCTGACAGTGATGAAGGAACCATATGTGGCACCAGGGGTTGAACCCAGATCGGCCCATGCAAGGCAAGCTAGACCGTCTTTGCAGCCTGAACATCTTAATGACCTTGTTTGGGGGCACACGTAGCGAACAGCTGGTGCAGTAGCGAAGCTGCATGGAGCCTTTCCCGGCACGTCACCATTGGTCATAGGAAGGACTCAAGCCAAATCAGCTCAAACGAGTCTTTTTGTAGATACGTGCTTTTATTCTTTGGAGTAAACATTAGGGGCTGGGGCTACGGATGCAGTAAAACAGATGCCTTTCAAGTCTAAGAACCTGGGTTTGATCTCTGGCTCTCCGTGACATGCCAAGCACCTCCGGTGGCTATTCGGAGACATCTGAGCACAACTAGGAGCGAGTCTGGGCCCCCAAACTACCAGGAATGCTTTACCTCCACAATCTTAGAACGAAATATTTAGGGCATTGATGGTTTATGTTTTCCAGAAACGGACTTTGAAATTGTTTTGTTTTGTGACCACACCTGGCAGTGCTTATGCCTGGCTCTGCCCTCAGGGATCGCTCCTGGCAGGGCTCAAGGAACCCTAAGAAAGGCAAGGTATTGAATCCAGATTAGCTGTATGCAAGGAAAGCACCTTACCTGCTGTACTTCCACTTACAACGTAAGAATTCAATTTCTGCACATCTTTGGCATCTGGGGCTGTTAGTCTGTTTGGCCTTCATCTGCATGTCGTCACTAATGACCCTGAGAGCTCTTTCACATGCATAGTGACCCCATCATTTGCACACCTGCATTTTAAAATAACTTCAGGGGCTAGAGAGATGGTAACATGGGTAGGGCACTTGCCATGCACACAGCCAACCTAGGTTCGATCCCCCACATCCCATAAGGTCCCCTGAGCACCACCAGGAGTAATTCCTGACTACAGAGCCAGGAGTAAGCCCTAAGGATTGCTGGGTGTGGCGCCAAAACCAAAATTAATAAAATAAATGTGACTTCAGAGTCCAGTGAATCAGTTGTGGCTCAGTTGTAGAGCACCGAGACTCCCATATATGAGGCCACAGGAACAATCCCTGGCATGGAATAATATATATATATATATATATAATAAAATATATCCTCAGATTTTTGCTCATTCTTTTCATTAAGGCACTGGGGCCTACATCGTTATTCACAGTTGAATTTCAGGCATACCTTGTTCCAATACCAATCCAACCAGCAATGTTTTCCTCATTTGGGGGTGGGGAGGAGGCAGTCTGCCGGCTGGCCGGTCTGCGTGTGTGCGTCAGTGTGTCTGTCTGTGTGCGGGTGTCCAGCTCTCTGTCTCAGACGCACACACTTGGAGGCTGGCGGCCGGTGCCGGGGCACACAGAGGGCCGCGTGTGTGGGCGCTGCACCCGGGTGGCCTTTTCAGGGCGGGTCTCATGGCAGGCGGACCGTGCAGCCGGGGCAGGTGGTGCAGGACGGCAGGGGTCAGGGCCAGCGAGGCCAGTGGGCAGCGGGCAGATGCAGATGCGCCCCGCTGGGCTTCTTGAGGGCAGCAGAGAGACATGAGTCCGTCTATGGCCATACCACCCTGCATACACCTGATGTCGGAAGCTAAACAGGGTCGGGCCTGGTTAGTACTTGGATGGGAATACCAGGTGCTGTGGGCCTTTTGTGGGGCTTTTGGAAATGTCTTTCTTTAATTTTGGCTCCCTTTTCTTTGGCCTTGGAAGGCGGAAGGGGGGGGGAGGCAGGGCCATGGCCCCTGGCCTTGGCCCTGCCCTTAGCCCCAAGAACCCAGGTGCCTTGCCCCCTTCCCTCCCCCCACCCCCAGGCTGGGCTGCCTGCTGCTTGCCTGAAAATAATGTTTGCGAGAATGTCATTGTTCTTTTTTTTAATATTTAAAGTCTTTTATTTCATTTTCCACAAAAAAATATACATGCTATGATGGCCTATTTTTAAAATCCCAGTGTAAACACAGAAAGACATACTAAGAGGAATATGTAAAATCTTGCTGGGTCATTTATCCATTATTAGAATCAATAAAGTAAAAACAAAGGAACCTCGTTCAGGATTGGGCTGGGTGGATCCCACAGGTCAAACATGCTTCCTACATCCTGAGAGGGTTTTCTATGAAGCTACTTGAAAAGCCAAACTGGCTCACAGCGATTTCATCGTGATTTTGTCCAGCTGAAACTAGGTGATGCTGAACTCTGACTGCAGTAGGGTGCCCAGCTGGGATGAGAATGGCGCCAGCCATGCCCTGCTCTGCCTGCTCCCCCCAAGCCCCAGGAAGGACCTCCCAAGTGTGGCAGGAGGTGTGCCCCACGCCCCAGGACAAATAACTAGAAACGGACAATGCCCTGTTGCTCTCACTGAAGAACATACCTGTCCTGAGACCTCCAGGGGTCTGACCCCACGTCGCAAGGATTGCCAAGTGTTGGTCAGTGTCCCGGAAGCCCAGGGTCCCCTTTCCTGAGTCTTTTGAGACCCTTCATAGTGACGGGTCACCCCAGTTGTCTTGTTCATCACCAGACTGGGTAAAGTAGGTCCCACTTTCCTTCTGGAAGCTTCTGAGAAGTCACAGGCCTTTGTTTTCGGCAGGACTCTGGGGCACTGAGGCTGTTACCTGGAGCCTAGTGAGACCCAGTTGTGCTGGGGGCGGAGGTGCAAAAGAAAAGGTGTATTTGGTGTCAAAGAACTTAGGGCCTTGCCATTCCCTACTATTTTTGACCCAGTTCACGACCTTTTTGTTCTCTTGGTCTTGTTTTGTTTGGGGACTACACCCAGAAGTGCTCAGCGGTGTTAAACAGAAATAATGCTTTTCATCTAAGAATACTTTGGTACTTTCATAATCTTGTAGAACTTTATCTCTAAT